TCTGTCCTTGTGTGTTGGTATGCTATGTCTTCTGTCCTTGTGTGTTGGTATGTTCTGTGTTCTGTCCTTGTGTGTTGGTATGTTCTGTGTTCTGTCCTTGTGTGTTGGTATGTTCTGTGTTCTGTCCTTGTGTGTTGGTATGTTGTGTTTTCTGTCCTTGTGTGTTGGTATGTTCTGTGTTCTGTCCTTGTGTGTTGGTATGTTATGTGTTCTGTCCTTGTGTGTTGGTATGTTATGTGTTCTGTCCTTGTGTGTTGGTATGTTATGTGTTCTGTCCTTGTGTGTTGGTATGTTATGTCTTCTGTCCTTGTGTTGGTATGTCACATGTTCTGTCCTTGTGTGTTGGTATGTTATGTGTTCTGTCCTTGTGTTGGTATGTCACATGTTCTGTCCTTGTGTTGGTATGTTATGTTTTCTGTCCTTGTGTGTTGGTATGTTGTGTTTTCTGTCCTTGTGTGTTGGTATGTTCTGTGTTCTGTCCTTGTGTGTTGGTATGTTATGTCTTCTGTCCTTGTGTGTTGGTATGTTCTGTGTTCTGTCCTTGTGTTGGTATGTTCTGTGTTCTGTCCTTGTGTGTTGGTATGTTGTGTTTTCTGTCCTTGTGTGTTGGTATGTTGTGTTTTCTGTCCTTGTGTGTTGGTATGTTGTGTTTTCTGTCCTTGTGTGTTGGTATGTTCTGTGTTCTGTCCTTGTGTGTTGGTATGTTATGTGTTCTGTCCTTGTGTGTTGGTATGTTATGTGTTCTGTCCTTGTGTGTTGGTATGTTCTGTGTTCTGTCCTTGTGTGTTGGTATGTTCTGTGTTCTGTCCTTGTGTGTTGGTATGTTATGTCTTCTGTCCTTGTGTGTTGGTATGTTCTGTGTTCTGTACTTGTGTGTTGGTATGTTCTGTGTTCTGTCCTTGTGTGTTGGTATGTTATGTGTTCTGTCCTTGTGTGTTGGTATGTTCTGTGTTCTGTCCTTGTGTTGGTATGTTCTGTGTTCTGTCCTTGTGTTGGTATGTTCTGTGTTCTGTCCTTGTGTGTTGGTATGTTCTGTGTTCTGTCCTTGTGTGTTGGTATGTTATGTCTTCTGTCCTTGTGTGTTGGTATGTTCTGTGTTCTGTACTTGTGTGTTGGTATGTTCTGTGTTCTGTCCTTGTGTGTTGGTATGTTATGTCTTCTGTCCTTGTGTGTTGGTATGTTATGTCTTCTGTCCTTGTGTGTTGGTATGTTATGTCTTCTGTCCTTGTGTGTTGGTATGTTCTGTGTTCTGTCCTTGTGTGTTGGTATGTTCTGTGTTCTGTCCTTGTGTGTTGGTATGTTCTGTGTTCTGTCCTTGTGTGTTGGTATGTTCTGTGTTCTGTCCTTGTGTGTTGGTATGTTCTGTGTTCTGTCCTTGTGTGTTGGTATGTTCTGTGTTCTGTCCTTGTGTGTTGGTATGTTCTGTGTTCTGCCCTTGTGTGTTGATATGTTATGTGTTCTGTCCTTGTGTGTTGGTATGTTCTGTGTTCTGTCCTTGTGTGTTGGTATGTTCTGTGTTCTGTCCTTGTGTGTTGGTATGTTCTGTGTTCTGTCCTTGTGTGTTGGTATGTTCTGTGTTCTGCCCTTGTGTGTTGATATGTTATGTGTTCTGTCCTTGTGTGTTGGTATGTTGTGTTTTCTGTCCTTGTGTGTTCATATGCTTTATATTCTGTCCTTGTGTTGATATGTTCTGTGTTCTGTCCTTGTGTGTTGGTATGTTGTGTTTTCTGTCCTTGTGTGTTCATATGCTTTATATTCTGTCCTTGTGTTGATATGTTCTGTGTTCTGTCCTTGTGTTGGTATGTTATGTTTTCTGTCGATGTGAATTGATATATTGATATGCAGATGCGGGGTTATGTTTCCGGAACTATTATCCTTATTGACTCTATGATACCACATTGTATTTTCTATCGTAAGGTGTTTCTGTGTCATGCAAGGTTACTAATAAATAACGATAACAAGAAGAAGATTAAATCTATAGCCTCTTTATGATCGTAGTATCATGGAAACAGATATGTTGAATGTCGCTAATAACACCATATTACACAAACCACGATTATATACACTGTATATACAGGAGGAATTTCCTCGAACGCCAAGTCAGGTTGGAGTGACATTTTGATGCATTCGTCATCAGTTCCGATCATAAAAGTCATGAAATCGGTCACTTAAAAGGGCCTGGCATACCTGAGGTTAGAATACCAAAGAGACAAACCACAAATGACGATACCGGAAGTGTTTTTTGTGAAGAAGAAATTGCTTAATTGATATGTTACTATATTTAGTGCCCATCTATAAGACTGTTTTATTGTCTTGTTACGCTTCTAAATTATCGATGTTTTATTGTTATATGATGTCAGTATATAAGTAAGATTTAGACACATTTCCTTCAGAATCAGAGAAAACCGACGACAAACCTTGTGTTATTGCAGTTATTAAACCGTCTATACAATTATTTCAAATGATGTAAATATAAGTTATACATTTGAATTAGATTAAAAAATGTAAATTTATATTTTTTGTTTACATAATAGTCATTGTTAATGAGATTAATAATTAAAAAAATCTTATTACTTTCAACGTCAGTGTCCATCATTGTAATTATCGAATTTTTATTTTTTTTCACAGAGAAAAAAGTCATGAAAAAGTTTAAAAACACTTTATTTCGATTTCAATCATTAACATATTACATATAACGTAGTTGTGTACTTGAATTTTTGTATAGTTTGATATTTTTCTTCTAAGGTCATTTTTTTTTTATAATTATCAACACTTTTTGTATGAAAACTATTATTAGATTTCGATGAATATTTGTCACTAAGTCAGGAGACAATCGGAGTTTGATCCCGATCGGTTACCTAAAAAAAGCGGGTAACTATATTGCCTAGAGTTAATTTCAATCAAAGACAGTAAAAAAAGGTAGGGAAAAACGAGTGAGTAACATTTGATTAGAACCCTATAACAACATTGATTTAACATTCCTTCCCTCACGAGCTTAACTCTTGGCAAAAACATACTATTTGGGCTCTGTATTAATTGGTCGTTATTTATGATACAATATGATATAATTTTATGTACAGGCATTGTAATTGGGCTCTAGGAATCTTTATTTTAATTACGCGATAAAACTTTGGCCATTTCCTTTTCATTACAAATGAAAACGAAATATCTATGTAACCCATGTAATCATATTCGTTATAATTACGGAAAAAATCAGTCAGGTCTATGGCTTTTCAGAATTCTCATTTAGATATATTAAGATTAATACGCTTGAAAACAAAAACACATGCAAATATATCAACAGGTCACTTAATTACGCTATTGTTAATAAAAGTTTTAACGGTTGATAATGCAAATGTTCACGTCTGTCACCGTATTTACATATCCCCACTTGGCATACTTAGGATGACGTCAGATAAAAACAAAACTAAAACAATGGTTGACTTTCAGGTGTAAAATATGTTCATATTTCGGTGTTAGCAAACCATAAACTTGCTCTAATCAAGTACAAGTTAAAGCTAAGAATTTCTTTCACGCTTAATAACGATAATAATAATAATAACAACAACACTTCGCTAGGCAGAGACGATCTTGAAGCTGCCACCCTCTTAGCGCCCCTCAATCATGCCATTTCAAACGAGACCTGTCACATCAATGAATGATGACGTTTTTCACAGGAAATGACGTTTTGTCAGCTTACATGCATTTCATTATTCTTAATGACATTTAACAGTAATGTTACGTGGAATCGTTATGCTCCACTATTTATTATGACTTCAGCTTACGTTGTTATATTTTCTACTGTAAAATACACATCCCTGTATTTCTTGGTGTTACATTTTTAGCTTGTTTACCTGTTCTTTTCTATTTTTGTATTTGAATTTGTAAGGTGAAATTGCTTAAGAATACAAATAGCGCTTAACATGTAATATGTTAAGTATACATAAGTAGCTCTCTTCAACACTATACAATATCTTTATCTATTTTCTCAGAAATCATTAACTACTACATTTTTGTCCAAGTTTTATGTGTCATCCATTAAAGGTGATGCAGCTGATACATAAAAACACCACAGTTAGTTTTATAGAGAAATGATAAATAATCAAAATGGACACTTACAATAAAGAGGATTTTACTATTTAAAAAGTGTATCTAATATAAGTCAGTAGTCTGTTGTAACGAGCGTTTTTCTTTCTTGAAAAATTAAGAAACTTTTGTTGTTTACCTGTCTGTATTTGTGCAGTAATTTGTCAATTATATACCACTAATAAACATCAACTTTGATAGAATGCGCCTGTTATATAATAAACTGTGAACGATGAGATTAACGTTAACATTATAACCTTTTACTTATATAAGACGAGTACCCTGCAGGTTGTGTCTTCATTACATCTATATTTCAGATAACAATTTTTCGACCATTACAATTTGCATGCTTGTCTTCAACTCGCAAGCCGTTCAGTCTAGTCTCTTTCAATCTGTTCTAAGAATAGCACTTTTGTGTGGAATGTCACTTGGGCTCCTTTCGTTCGTTAAAGCAGATTTTACGTGCTACGACTTGAAAATGTGTAAAACAGCTTTTAAAAACATTGTAAACATGTCAGGCGTCTGCCCTAGTTGTGTTTTAAGCCATCAACAAGATAGAACTTTTTATATGTTTCTGCTACCATGGCAACATAGTAAGAATGACCTAATTCCGAATAAAGGTATCAAACTCTTCTGTAAGATCTACATCAAAATAGTTATTGTTATTTTAATGTCAGCATCAAGATATTTTTGGAACCGTGGCAAACAGCACATCTCGGGGAATAATACCACTCTTTGCGACTCTTAGTTTATAGTCTGAAAATGACGAAATAAATGTTATGTTGCTTAGTTTTTAAATTGCAATCATATATGTCAGATAAATATTCTGTTATATTTTGAGCATGCTCAAAGAAAAAGTACGTCTTTATTTTGTATTATTGTGTTGATAACAGCATATTTTATTTCTCCTACAGCTCCTCCGAAACCACAGAGTGTCATTACAGAATCACAAACCATCGACGGAATATCAACTATAATAATCAAGTGGGACGCGTTACCAGTAATTCCGGAAAATCTCCAATACAAAGTGTATTTCCAACCTCTGGAATTAGATGGATCAATAACTCAACCGGAAGTTGTTTTTAGAATTTGCGACGCATCACAGACGTCTGCTTCTATAACAGATTTAACACCTAAATCTAGATACAGGATTCGGGTAGCTGCCGTCGATGGCCAAGTTGTTGAGTCCAACAGTATACCGGAAGTGATACACACACCTGACGTTAGTAAGTAGAGCTAACTATGACGTAATGGTTATAGTAATTTTTTTTCATTTACATTTATGATTAACTTAAATGTTATCACAATTGAAGTGAAGTTTGATCGAAACACGTGTCTTTTTTCTATTCATTGTATGAATAATGGCAGCGCCATGCGGAGCGAGCGTAGTATTATCCGATATTTTAGCGTGATTAACAAATATGCCAAATATTTTGCAAGAATATTTGATTGACCTATAGTTTAGAAACTTTTCCTTCTTTATTTCTTATCTTAATCTTTATTCAAATAGTTCTTGACGTTTCATTGTTCTTGTTTTATTCTTTCGTACAACCTCGGCAGGGTTTCCGGGTAAGATACTAATCGCTTTGTCTTGTTCAAACAGACCCTTGTTTGATCTGCACACGCAAAGTCAGTAATTACAATATGGCCAAGCGTCTGGGTGAAAAAGAATATTTGTTGCTATGCCCGCCATTTTGCTATCCGCAGTTGGCACAAAGTATTACTAGGTCTTCCACTTCCGTGTTACAATTTGATGACTTATAGTATGGATGATTTTCCCCCACCTTTTTTTTTCAGGCGTGTTATCTTAAGGGCTTGCTTGGCAAGCGGCCCCTGCTGGGTCGCTCGAGCTACGCTCGCTATTAGTAATTTTGCTACTCTATAGTTTGCTAGAATCATTATTGAAGACAATTAATTTTGCATCCATTTGCAAAAAGCATCGGTAACCAAAACGAAATAAACAATACAGCAGAGCCAAACAGTGAATAGAACTGCATTGACAGCTCTTTTGTTTTTCGTGCAATAGGTCAAATTTTGAGAACTAGGAGGTGACTGAACAAAATCCGATATAATCGGAACCGTGCCTATATTCGAGTGAATTAAAACCATGTATCTTAAATGGACCGCCCATAGTTTTAGCTGGAAAAAAGATTTCCGCCAATTTGCATAATTCCAAAACAAATGTACTATCCTTATAGTACATAAACAATGATAGTCCGTGTTGTAAAATTATTTGTCTGTGGGAATAAAATAGGAAGAGTATCCGAAGCGGTTGATATAATGTTATGCCTATATGATATATGAGGTGTATTTGTAGAGGTGTAGTGAATTTATATATCGGTGTGATATAGAACATTTAGTAAGATTATATGTCTTTATGATATAGGATGCGTAGTAAGATTTTATATCTGTGTTATATAGGATGTGTTTTAACCGATTATTTTTTGTTTAATTGCTTGTAATTCTATACATTAACGTCAACTTATCGTTAGTATTAGAAAATCTACTTCAGATATCAGGTTTGAATCAAATGTATATTATCATTATTCAAGTATTTTTTGTGAATTATGTTCTTTACTGTTCTGCTAGAAAACTATTTAAGATATCATCCAAAATTTTGCAGAAAAATGATTCCTTAACTTAAAGGATATTGCAGTCATGTGTATCATTTTATCCAGTACAGTGCGTCTTCGGTTTAACGTCTGCACAATGACATCTGCTGCTATTTTTGTCATCTATAAATGCTTGTTTCATCAGTTTCTAGATGCGCAGAAATATCGTATTCGAGAGCTATAAATCAAACAAAACATGTGAAAACATTTATAACTGTACGCGTGAAAACATTTATAACTGTACGCGTGAAAACATTTATAACTGTACGCGTGAAAACATTTATAACTGTACACGTGAAAACATTTATAAATGGACACGTGAAAACAATGAACGTGACATATAACACCTGCAGGTAAGAATGAGTGCAGGATTTGCATACTTCTAATTAGCGTAGAAATTTCAACCCCTGTATATATGCAAATGACACCTTTGGTTTCCAGGATACTATTGAAATTGTGCATTATCTTTTTCTGTCTTAAACACACTGTCATTTGAACATTCTTTAAAATATTCTGGAAATGGTCTTATGGAGTATTTTAGAAATGAAATGTAATACTTGATTGTGACAGTTCCATCATCGCCTGTGAACTTAAGAGGTAGTGCACTGGGACCGAACTCGATCAAACTGGACTGGGATCCGCCTGTGGTGCGAGGAGATATTCTTCAATACAGTGTTATCATCCACGACTCCTTCACAATGAAGAATCATACTGTAGACATTCGACCCGCCGTCAACTACCTCAATGCTTTAGACTTAACAGAAGGAACTACACATCATTTTGCTGTAACTGCCTTCTCTGATAACGGAGAATCAGAACAATCGGAACCTTTAATGGTATCAACCGCAAGTTTCAGTGAGTAGTAGTGTACTACATATTTCTTACCTCTGTTTGAATTGTACAGAAAATCAAATACGTGATCTAAAGCAATAAACACGTTTTCTGTTGTAAATGGTACAACTTTATCAACTTTATAATGAAAACTAGGGCAAAAATGTGTGAAGATAGCATTTCGATAGAAACACAACAAAACGTATCAATTTATACACAAACATACTTTTATATAGAGGAAGTGTTACTATAATATGGAATTTATCAAACGGTTACAACTATTCGCTTAAAGACATATGGAAATGCTTAACGACTCTGATAATATTTTATCTTATCGGTACGAATGTATGATTTCATTTATCATATAACCCGGTTTTTCAGGAAAAAAATCTTAAGTTTATTTCTTTACAAGACAGACTCTGACGTTTTTAATACCGAAACAATCATGCCACGTCATAAGGACGTATGACTTATTTATGACGTCACAATAGTGTCTTGCTATGTGTGTGTCACGGTCGTAAAACATGGCACAACATACCAGTTATGTGGTAAAGTCATTATGGTCCAATATTTTATATTGTTCCTTGGCTTTATAATAAAAATATTTTCTTTATGACAATGTATATTATACTACCATGTACTTTACTACAATCATAATACAGACATGTCCATTTAACCCACAGAAATATGTATTTAGTCCACAAATATAGTGTTTAGACTAGCAGTTACTTTAATATGAAATACTATTTCATCGGTATATAAGTCATTTTGTTATAACTTGCAGTTCCGCCGGAAGTGCAGAATCCAAATGCCGAGGCTTACAACACAACAACTATTCGAGTCACCTTCACTCCGCGTCAAAGCGTTGAGGGTAAGATCCGAGGATATCGAGTACATTACACGGATTTCCTTGCTGAACCGGAAGAGGGAGATGTTGAGACAACTAACCCTTCTGCTACGGAATTGTGGGTACACAATCTTCAGCCCAACAAGGATTACTACTTTGCTATCACAGCATTCACCAGACGTTCAGAGAGTTTCCCTACAAGCTACGTGGCTACCAAATCTAAGGCTGCAGGTAAAAACACATTGAAATTGTACATATTTATGTCTGTTCCGTTCACGATAACACACAACATATACCGACCAATGCACATCTCGTAGAGAACGAGATTCCAGCGCAGTATATCGGAAGACAAAAACAAGACATAAAAGTAATGTTTCTTGCTTTTGGGCAGAATATGGATTGATCTGTGTAGTACAAATTTAAGACAATTTTTCACATTAACTTCATGCTGTAAATTCACTTCCAAATCACTTCCAAACCCACTATTTCATTACTGCCGTTGTTGGTCTAGACTTTATATAAATATCATGAATTAATAATAAACGCCGAATATGTACTGGTTTTAACATTAAAATATCACAATGGTGTATATCCATATAGAACTATAGTTTAATGATTATCGGTAAAAATTCTCATTGTGTCATAAACACCAGATTATCCATATCATAACACTAGGCGTGTACTGCTTTGTATTATAGCAACTTCACCCTTTCGTATCATAATAATAAAATTGGATTTTAATTCGTATAATAACTTTGGCCTTACATTACATGTAACGACTTCACCAAATATATTAGTCTGAAACATGACAGTGTACTGATAATTCAGTAAAATGTTTGTAAACTCATATTTGACCATTGTACAATAAAGAATTCCCTACAGATCTATAGCGTGTTACATGACATTATTATATACTATCAGTATCTGAATTGATTTTTTGTCTTCAAAATTCACCTTTAAAAGCAACCAAGGAACACCAAAGTTCAAGACTGCAATTATAGACTAAATTTGACTAATATTTAAATTAAGTTTCTTATCTTTCACAGTGCCAAGTCAAGTGAGGAACGTGCGCTGTCGTACATTAAGAACAGATCCCCCAATGATCCAGCTCCGATGGGAACCTCCTCTTCACATGTACGCCCTCAAGAAACCAGAATATCATATCATGTGGGGAGTCAAAGATGGTGTCTACAGAAACGAGACTATCACCAACATGTCCGTGTCGTGGAATTCAGACTATCTTGGTATGTAGTTTATTTACTTAATATAAAACAGGCCTGAGTAAAGCAACTACACCTGTATTCAGACGTTCTTCCACAAAACTTTATTCAGTCACCATTTTCAAATGTCTCTGTACAAATGTTTCCTTTGATCTAAGTCTGCCTATCTATCGGAATCATAGGTTCATCTATACTTGCACAATATCTTCTGGTTTTTTTATTTGAAATGAAATAAATTTTTGTTGATAATTTATTTGCGTTTATTCAACTCAAAAACATGAACCCTAAAATCCAGATTTCCATGGAACCATAAACAGATAAAAGTTGACCTGGATTATAGTACAAATGGATTTCGTGGGCAAGATCATGAAATTAAGAACCAGCAAACAAGCACATGCTTGGAAAACCACGAAATTTTGGCCTCTCAAAAGTGAATAATTTTAAAGTATACATCGTTTGAAGACTTTTGTTGAGATGTAACGGGCTATTTCCTTGTTATGAAATTAATCAATGTTAAATAGTTATTTAACATATAAATATTGAAATACAATATTTGTTCTCTTTTTTCAGATGACAACTTACTTCACAGATTCATTATTGCTGCTAAAAACGACAAAGGAATTGGAAACGAGGTTGAGGTTCAGCTAAGAACCCCTAAAAGAGGTAAGACAACAATTACGAATTTATACGAATATTAAAAATCTCAATCTCATTCGATTTCGTTCATATGTACGGAAGCGTATTCCGGCCACGTTGAGTTTTATTTTATCTCAAAATTTCGAGGTAGCAACTCGAAATTTCGAGTTAGTAATCCAAAGTTTTGAGTAAGCAAGTCGAAATTTCGAGTTTTTATCTCGAAATTTCGGGTTCGACTTACTAAATCAAAATTTCGGATTACTTACTCGAAATTTCGAGTTACTAACTCAAAATTTCGAGTTGCTATCTAGAAATTTCGGGATAAAATAAAACACAACGTGGCCGGAATACGCTTCCGTACATATGTAAGTGTTTATCTGACGAAATCAGTCATCGCCTTTACCTGTGTGTGACTTTTTTCAAGATGGGGTTTAAAACCTAAAAATATATTAACAAAATTATTCATACCAGCATATACTTACCGTTTATTATCACCCTGCTAGAATTAAAAAATGTCCGAATTTATTCTTTCGGTAGGGGAGGGTAGTTTGATGTCCTATTTCTATGCGGTATTCAGTATTAAACTATTCCATAACAGAACGAAAGTGAAAACAATTTACCTTGTATATACTATTTGATCCTTTGATGAAAGCTTGCAAACTAACAATAACGATTAAACGGGTTATGACCGAGTACATTACTATGAAATAGATATAATCCCCTGCTGATACATTTCAGAGTTTGACACTCCCAAGAACATAAAAGTTGGCCGTATGAAGAAGGGCAACACAACACTGTTAGCGGTATCTTGGGATCCAATGCCGGTCCCGGTAATGGGATTCCGTGTGTTACATCGAGTATTCCAGTGGATCTATCAAGGAAGATGGACAATCACTGAAGTCCCGGATCCAAATGCAAGGTCCACAACTATTCCTATAACAGATCCTACTTTGTCATATATTGTAGTGGTAAGATCCAAACTATTACACGGACGACAAGGGCGCAGAAAGAAAAACAAAAAGGATGTCATGAAATGCACGATCGTTGTTCACAAAGATAAAAACGCCGGTGCAAAGAGTGCCCTTGATACTCCGATGCAAGAGGCTGTAGGTGGAGGGATGGAAAACCAAGGAATGGGTGGCGACATGGGGATGAGTGGTAATTCAGGCATGGGTGGCATGGGTGGTAATCAGGGAATGGGTGGCATGGGAGGTGGTCAAGGAATGGGTGGCATGGGAGGTGGTCAAGGAATGGGTGGCATGGGAGGTCAAGGAATGGGCGGCATGGGTGGTAATCAGGGAATGGGTGGTAATCAGGGAATGGGAGGACAAGGAATGAATGACATTGGAGTTGGTCAGGGAATGGGCGGCATGGGAAATGGTCAGGGAATGGGTGGCATGGGAAATGGTCAGGGAATGGGTGGCATGGGAGGCGGTCAGGGAATGGGTGGCATGACAGGTGGTCAGGGTATGGGTGGCGGACAAGGAATGGGAAGTTCTTTTCAGAGTATGAATAGTATGATGGGTGGTAGCATGAACAACGAAATACCACCTCCCACGAGAATGCCGAGTGTAGGGGGCAGTATGGGTGGTGGAGGCCAAGGAATGGGCGGTGGTCAGGGAATGAGTAGCATGGGAGGTGGCCCAGGAATGGGAAATAACCAAGGAATGAGTGGCATTGGAAGTGGTCAGGGTATGGGAGGTAACCAAGGAATGACAGGTAGCCAGGGAATGAATCAGGGTATGGGGGCCATGGGAAGTGGACCGGGAATGGGTGGTGAACAAGGAATGGGTGGTAACCAGGGAATGGGAGGAATGGGCGGTGGTCAAGGAATGGATAGAATGGGAGGTGGTCAAGGAATGGATAGAATGGGCGGTGGTCAAGGAATGGGAGGTATGGGCGGTAACCAGGGAATGGGAGGGATGGGCAGTAACCCGGGAATGGATAGAATGGGCAGTGGTCAAGGAATGGGAATGAGTGGTGGCCAGGGAATGGGAGGTATGGGCGGTCAGGGAATGGGAGGAATGGGCGGTGGTCAAGGAATGGATAGAATGGGCGGTGGTCAAGGAATGGATAGAATGGGTGGCAGTCAAGGAATGGGAGGAATGGGTGGTGGCCAGGGAATGGGCGGTGGCCAGGGAATGAGTAGTGGTCCGGGAATGGGCGGTGGCCAGGGAATGAGTAGTGGTCCGGGAATGGGCGGTGGCCAGGGAATGAGTAGTGGTCCGGGAATGGGCGGTGGCCAGGGAATGAGTAGTGGTCCGGGAATGGGTGGTGGCCAGGGAATGAGTAGTGGTCCGGGAATGGGCGGTGGCCAGGGAATGAGTAGTGGTCCGGGAATGGGCGGTGGCCAGGGAATGGGGAATATGGGAAGTAGACAGGGAATGGGTGGCATGGGCGGCAATTTTCAGGGAGTCAATAGTATGATGGGAGGTAACCCAGATATCGCAAGACCACCAACTCAAAGACCGCCAATGGGCGGAAACCAACAATTTGGAGGAATGCCTCAAAACAACCCAATGGGTGGACCAATGGGTGGACCAATGGGCAATACCCAAGGAGGTCCATCGCAAAATATGAACAGTCAAAGAAGACAACAGCCTATGCAACAAAATACACGGAGAATGCAAAGAGGCAACGCAAGGCGTTTTATGGGACAATGATGGGAGAAAAAAGAAATTCAGTCTCCAGAGGCTATATGGCAATAAAAACATAGGATATTGGCAAAACACAAGGTACTTCACAGTATCGAATGACCCAAACATGTGTTCCTTTCTTATCATTGTGTTAGGAAGTGTTTCTATGTACCATCAAACAATCGAATGGTGCTTTACCAATGCTTTTTTATAGAAAACAAAAAAAAAAACATGTTTAAAACAACAGGGATAATGGTTATTTATTCGTTCAACTATCGAGATAACGTGATCAGTAATCTAGTGCTATTAAGTGGTTTTCGTTTCCTCGTATGCTTAGTACAAATATTGTACAAATTTGTTGGCAAATCAAAACAGGTAGTCGATCAAAAATGTATCGTTGGTTATTCTTTTCCTTACTTCGTGTTTAAGTATCTATGCAACTAGTCACAGCTTTCTTTATCATATATCATATATCGTACCACTGATGGATGGAATAAGGAGATTCTCTCAAAATGAGAAGCACTAAAGAAATCTCGAATAGAATAAATTTTACAAAGAATAATCTATTACATAAAAATCGTTATACATGCATGCAGTTAAATCATTTATTATTTTATTACCTCATGTAATAACATCTATTATGATGTTATGATTAGGACAGTGGGCATTTGACGTCATAATATGACGTATCGTTATGTGTTATAAACATGACGTCACGTGGTGATGATAATGCTGTTATAATTGCAAGAAAAACATGTTTTCGCAAATATTGACCTACATTCTAAAATAAAAAAAAAAGATATGGAAACCGTGTTAGTGTTGTTTTTTTATTATGTATACTCGTGTTTTTATTATCAATCACATTCTCAATATTTAGTGGCAAAACTTATCAACAAATGATTTAATTGACACTCAGAAGGACCTGAGCACATGCGTATAATCCATTATATATATATATATATAAATATGTGTGTGTGTGTGTGTGTGTGTGTGTGTGTGTGTGTGTGTGTGTATGTATGTATTTACGTATACAGACTCAATTATATACATATATACATCTGATTTCCTTGTACATCAATATAGATGATATTTTGTCACAGTCATCAGATTTATTAAAAGCGTTTAATTCTAGGACGTGCTTTGAACAGTGTGGTATACATAGACGCCGTATTAATGGATATCAGTTATCGACAGGTATTAAGTGTTTGTAGATTTTATGGGAGGTACAATCGCTATTGTAGGTCATGAAATATAGCATTATCATTATTTCCATATTACGCGTCCTATATGAATTCCGTTTTCGTTACTTGTCCCTTCCACTTTTGCCATCTACCAGATGGATGTTCGATAAAAGTCACCCAATTTGCAATTTTAAGTTTTGTTTCCAAGCTGTAAATTGATGATTGATACAAATTCAATACCGAAAACGTTTGGATGGCTTAGGAAAAATCAAACTTTTGGGAAATATATGTCAATACAGATTTATGAACGAAAGCTGTATGAACGAAGTAAAAACATATTCATATTATGTCCATGAAGTTGTTTCCGGCGGGAATTTATATTCACCATTCATACATCAATCACTCTGTGTTTTAATCCACATACACGGTTTGGTAACGATTCAAAAACATCCATTGTACCGTCTGTGGAAAAAAGTGGAGAAATAAGCAAATAATATTTGATGAATTAATATGAAATTCGATTTATAGATTCATTTTACCTAAGCAGTATTTTTTTATACGTTTTAACAGGACTGTGAGCTTTAAAATTGTTTATATTATAATAGGCACTACTACAAAAGTCAACATCAAAAGTGAAGGAAATAAATCAGGAGTACAGAAGATACTTACACCACTGAGAACCAAACAGTACTGGACAAATAGACATGGATGCTCCAGCTTCATAAAACAAAACGTCGCCCTGAAAAATAGGTATATTACATATGTGTAGAAGAGAGAGAATCTCTGAACTACCTGTCACTTGATTTAGTTTAAATAATTCAAAATTTAGAAATCATTAATAATTTCCCATTTAGTCTGTCTATAGAACGATACTTTTGAATGATTCCTAAAAGATTAGATAATCCAAAAAACATGAGTTATCTCCCATTTAGACTGTCTATAGAGTGATATAATATAGTTGAATGATTTCTAAAAAAAATTAGGTGATTTCAAAATCATGAGTTATCTCCCATTTAGACTGTCTATAGATTGATATAATATAGTTGAAAGATTTCTGAAAAAAATAAATGATTTCAAAATCATGAGTTATCTCCCAATTAGTATGTCTATAGAATTATACATTTGAATAATTACGAAAAATGGATTACCTTGTTTAGTTTCATTCTTGTCTTGGATAAAGGGAATACTACCTCACCGCCCGCTGTGGTATCAGATAGCTGCATAAAGGTATCAATAAAACAATTATATACTGTAAACGTATATATTACCTCGAATATCTTATGACTGCGCTTATATGTGCTGTTTATGTAGTAATTATTGTGAATGCGGGGATGCATCGTTGCACTAATATGCCTTGCATGTATATGAAAAGTTAATTCACGCCTATAGAAACATCAAGAAAATACCAACATTGCAATCATAATTAAAAACCAAATTAATGTAGAGCAAAATATGAACAAAAGGAAGATTTACACGGAGACTCATAAACCAGTACAGGGAGAATAAGACCAGGAGTTTCGGAAGAGTAAGCGTCTTCTGCTTCAACGACGACACCGCCATGTAAACCTTGGTCAATCCAAGTAAAAATGGTACGTTCTCAAATGAAAACAAGGTATACAACAACGGGACCAACAGGCAAACTAACGAGCATCAAAGACGTCCAGCTTTGTATTACACAAAAATAGAATATTTTTTCAATTAAATCACTATGGCGACCATAAAACTGAGATGAGTACGTCAGAATTTGTGGATTACATATATTACTAAATATCAATGAAGTAGAATTCTCAATAAATTTAAGATACTAACGAATTATGTAAATTCATTTTCTGGATTTATTAATACATATCAAGTAGACGCCATACAGGTTGAATAATATTTGATAAGAACGTAATGTCAAATATGATAACATCTCGGCTGTTATTGGCACTGAATGAAAACATATCAACGAAATATACACTTGTCACGTCACTCATAATGATTCATATAGATCTAAATTTACATACAAGAAAGATATCAATGATTCGATGTTGAATACCAATTATTATCTTATAACGGTAAGGGAGGAATATAACCGACCACTGAGCTTGGATAACGAAATGTGACGTTAATGATTGTAATGATTGTCAATGCTAATGTCAACGATATGTGATAGATTTAATGTCAATGATAGTATGTATGATGTATTGTCAATGATAGTATGTATGATGTATTGTCAATGATAGTATGTAGGACTTAATGTCAATGATAGTTATTGGATTTAATGCCAATGACAGTTTGTAGGATTTACTATCAATGACAGTATGTAGGATTTACTATCAATCACAGTATGTAGGATTTACTATCAAGGACAGTATGTAGGATTTACTATCAATGACAGTATGTAGGATTTACTATCAATGACAGTATGTAGGATATAATGCCAATGACAGTTTGTAGGACTTAATGTCAATGATAGTATGTAGGATGTATTGTGGATGATAGTATGTTGGATGTATTGTCAATGACAGTATGTAGGATTGTTTGTTCGTAGGAAAGACTACGTTACCTTAGCATTACATTATCATATCTTACTACCTTGTACACAGAACACTGCTTCCAAACGTTTGATGAATTAATCTTACAAGACCAGTGATTAACAAAAATGGTGATAGGTGCTTAAAGGAAAATTAACAACAGGTGGATCACTATATGTATGTCAATTAAGTATGTGTTTCAGGAGACGGATTTAGAAAATACTGTACATGAATATACGTACCGACATACTCGGAATTTATGCATTATCGAAACCCCCTTTTTAACAAATTTATTTTTGTAATTGTTAACAGATGAATTTGTAATTTTAAGAGTATGAACATACCGCAGTCAACATTGTCCCTGAAAACGACGGACCAGATCGCTGAAACAGAGAAAACAGAACATAGAATTTTATTTATTTTCTAACAATCTAAGTAAAACTTATATATTCACATTATATGTCTATGTATATATTGTATATACGCATTTAAGTCAAAAGGACATAACTAAATAAAAAGACTGCAAAAGGTTATATATTTATATGACACATATTCATTCGATGCATCTGTTGCTTGTTGAAATAGAACCTTTTTCATACTTATTAAAAAACTTTCTGTTCTTAAATTCTTCCAATAACTAAAGCTTACCTTTTTGGCAGGTGTAGAGTGGACTCCATCTAATCCAATGTTAAAAACCTACATATAATGTAATAAGCAATTAGTGTGACATATATGTACATTGTATGTAGAGAAACAAAAATCAGAACTACATGGAATTCTGTAGAAAGATTCATGTATCTGAAAGTTATGAATCAAATTTGATGACGTCATTAATGTTGACTTCTTCTATTTTTGTGACATCTCTTTTGGACAACTTGGAATTTTTCAACCGATCTCAAGGTTCTAAACCTTAGACCTTTAATAAAGGCGTTAAAACATCAAAGGATGGAACAACTTTATCAATTATTCTACTCTTTCAAATCATCTTTTTACATCTTTCAAAACATCCATAATATAGCAATGCTATAAACCTATATAGATATAATGTACACAAACCTCAAACCTGGTTTTCTGTGGTGGGTATCGTGTCAGTTTGATCTGAGACAGATCTTCTTGCACTGCTATAGTGTAGGATCCAGAGGTGTCATTCACTTTAACTCTGAAGCAGATAAATTCCTCTTATTGAAAATAGACATCGATAGAATTTTTTGTCAGAAATCAATGTCTTCTCGTATACCATATCCATACACTGGATACACTTTTCAACTTCGCGATTGGTAGATTATTTATGCTTGTTTATGGATCAAATGTAGAAGATTGAAACAAAGGAAGAGACTGCGATATATGAAGACCAATTGACGAATTAGGACTTTTACAGCATTCAGTGGCATAAATAACACTAAGTATGATATAATTATCGCCGATACATTGTATCTAGTACAATACCTATACCATTCTATAGCTGTAAAAAGTGTCATCTTTCTAAGTTTTGATCAAGTTTGCGTTAAGCAATATATTATATATATATCGAAACATCATCTATCAAACACATTGTATATTACTGATTTAACCACATCCTATACTTGTGGATATAAAGCACACCATAGTGTCCTAAAGTTATTCATTCCGTTCAGAAATACATTAAATGTCTCAAGCAAGTTTACGACAGTTTAATGAAATATATTCCAATGTAAAGTAAACAGTCTGAGCTAATAACATGGCAAGCAAGATTATTGTCATTTTATGAACAAATTCCTTTGAGGACAGCAATGAATCATTCTAATAATATGCCTTTGAAATGAAGGCGCGCGTAATAATAATAATAGTAATTAATAATTGAATAAAACTTACCTGTATTTTGGATTACCGTATTTGTTAGCTGGTATAATTTTATCAAACATCTGTAACAGATAAAAGTGGTAAATTGCATTGCATGGACGTTGCTGGTAGATATATAAAACAGAAAGATTCACTAATATTACCCATACTTCATTTATCTCAGTAAGATGTTGGAATACAATGTTGTTCCTGCTATCTCTCACTTCTACTTAAAAAATCTACTTCCTTCTTTATAAATAAACAGAATTTATCTTTTTGTGACTAGTAAAATTAAGCACACTCTTTATCTGAAAATTTAATGATTAAATTTCCCGAAGACAATTTTTAGAAATCAAATAATCTCTCTTATTGATTTTAGAGTTTTGAAATATTCTCTGATTCTGTTATCCATTTTTATTGACATGATATTAATATGAATTAACCAGTGTATTGAATACCTTGTCATATCCCAGGTTAGTAATGTTTGTTGCAGTGTCTTTGTCAATCATTCCGGGGATCAGTACTATCAAAGGCCGTCGTCTCATCACGATGGCGTCAAAATACACCTTTCTTGTGAGGAACGATTCGTCCCACGTATTCAACGTAACTGTCCGTCCTTTTGCTTTCTATGTTATAGGTATAAATAAACAAATTCATATCTAAAATTGCGATTTCAATTGATGGCAGGCATACAATTAAAAATTGTACAAAAGACACACAAGTGAATAGCACCTTTTCATAATTTTGAATGAGAAACACATAAGCCAAACAATGAATTAAACTGCATCATACAGCTGTTTCGTCCTTCTATGAGTCGTCAGTGAAACTAAAGGTCTAATGTTTAAAGCCTAGGAGGCGACTAAGGAATATCCAAAGTGATCAAAAGAAAAGTAAAAGTTTGGACGGAGAGGTGCAGCAGTTCTATAATTAGATAAATGTCGGACTTTTATACATCAGGTAATTTTAAAAAAGCGTCAAGTTTAATTGTATTTTCTGAAGCAGGTAACGGCAAACCTCGGGGATTTAAAGACCACCGGCAGTGTAAACCATCTGCTATCTTAACGACTGTACAAAATTGTACAATATTCTAAGCCATACGATAATTACTAACATTTTACAATAAGAATTGTCAATAATAACTTTGTTATAACATTATCAGATATGCTATTTGGTATGAAAGTCACAACCATATTCAAAACAGTGCTATATTGTCATAACCCTTTCGTGATTTCAACCTTTAATGAAAGATATTCGATGCTTTAATCGGCGATACATTTAGCATATAGAAGATATCACTTAGTATAAAGATTTTAGTTGTTAGGAAACATGCATTTGATTACAAAATTAGTTTGATAAACCATGCCAACTGCACAATTAGCTGCATTTCAATCTAAACAGTTACATCGATTTAAAATGTTCAGAAAGTAATAACAATGAATCATTATATGTAGACAAAGAAACAACACCTGCTTTTATGATCTTGGTGCATAATTGACAGGTAAAGGATGTCTACCAAAACATAAACATGTCATGAATATATTTTGTCAGGAAAGATAAAAATCTGTTTACAAGCAACATGCAATTTATTTTTATATGCAGATTCGCTATACGTAGTAACATTCAGGATATGTGTAAGAACATTACTTTCTGGTGTCAACACGTGGAAGTTATGTACCTGATTGGTCATGGAGATGCTCCCTGAACATAGGCCCTCTCTCAGCCGTTTGAACTTTGATGCTGTGATCCGTGTTTTCTTTTTACTGCTTCCTGTGGACTTCTTCATTCGAAAATACTCTTCGCTCTGTTTCGCGGTTACGCTGTCAGGCACTAAAATATGTATTTACAATTGTTTTTATAATCTGTCTACATTTCACCAGTTTGGCAGAAAACTTTAGAGGTATATTTATTTCAGTACTTGCATCGAAAATATTGAAATCAGTACTTATTGTAGCCACACTTAATTTTCCTACAGGAATATCAATACATGTAAGTAGTTTTTTTCCAACATAGTTTGTGTTGTCATCGACAGATATGACGGGGACAACGTATTTTACTGTTTTCAGCCTCGCTTTCAAAATGTTCACGTAATAAACGCGCTATGCTTACACATTCTAATTTTTAACGTGACCACCGGAAGGATATTTCAACCCTTACATTAAAAACGAATGGAACAACAAAATATCTCTGCAACTTTAAACAGGAATTATTACATAAAAGGATGCTAGGATACTGATCGCTATATATATATAAACAATCGTTCTCACACACCGAAGAAAACCATTTGAATACATACCTAAATTTAGATATCGGCCTAAAGTTTCCAACGCTTTATCAATATTGTTATTCTGTAATCATAATAAGTATTGAAAAAAATCACTATATATAGGCTACATGTGCACAATAATCAATTGCCTCCATTTATAATTAAAGAAACATTTTAGAAATAAAAAGTACATTTCAAATAATATCTTTGTACTAGTATTTCATTATATGACATTTAATTTGGAAAATAATACACCGAAATGTTGAGATATAAATATTATTTTTAAAGATGCTTCGAAGATCCTTTTACCTATGCTAACGATATCTTTCGGTCATCGTACAAACTTATCTAAGAAAGTGACAGACATTTTAGTACGAACAACTTTGACATTTTGAATATCTTCTATACTCTGGAATTCCCGTACTCTTTTCTAAGCCAGGGTTTTTTTTTCACATTACATTTCAAGTACAATAACCGGGATAAATCGTCTTCACAGGGGGAATCTCCCATGCGAAAACGGAAACTTTGTTGTTTTATTTTTTTCCTTTACTCCGCCTGGAAGCTTTGTAACTCGCAAATAGGCTTTAAATACATAAGCATACCTTGAGTACAACTGGTGAAGAAATGTTACATAAATGTACGCAAACTTCCTTTTCAATTTAATCAGTAAAACGGTACTTTAGATACCGAAACATTTGCCAACATATGTATTCGATCCAGTTACTGCTTTGTCAAATAAAACGATCATGTGACATGATGTATCATTTTGACCATGAACGCGACCTAAACATATCAATAACTGTATCTATTTGATCGGGCTGTGTATTTCCGTGGTAAATGAATGATACATTTAACAACTATATATATTTATCTATCTATACATTACCTGTGAATACACTGTGGCTAGGCTGCTGTATAGCTTGCCTATGGAATGCCTTCCAACATCGTCCGTGCTGTTTCCAATTTCATTTATAACGAATTCGAGCCAGCTTATCGAACGTTTAAGATCGCCGATTGCATATGCGGACATTCCAAAGTCCACGGCATCTTCTAAAGTTACAGGCTCGTGTGGCTGGACACCGTTAACAGAGCCATTCATCATGTCTACGATGGAGTAGCCACGGAAAATTTGTAGGCCCAGGACTGCGTATGTTATATTGTTGAAATGGCTTTCTGATGGAATATTGTCTTCAATATCCAGTAATTTAAATTTTAAATCTGACAGGAAAAAGAAAGATAAAAAACGTGCCAATAAAATCAAAAGCATGAAAATGAATAATCATTAAAAAAAATCCTTACTGGAAATAACAAACATACTGTATCGATGGATATGCCAAGGACAAGTTAATAAGCTATAATTTATCGAAAAGTTGAGGTCATGTTGTATACACGCAAACTGATGTCAGTAAAATCAAACGACGCTATTTTCCGCACGGCAGCTGGATATGAAAATCGATACTTTCAAACAAAGTAAAATTATCTTTTTACATAGACCTGAACATGAAATCAGGCATTCGCTTTTGTATCTGTACTTGAAAGCACAGAATTATTTATTTTATTAATAAATAAATATAAAAGTTCTCATCATTACTAATTTATATGATATCTCATGGATTATGCATATTAATTTTAGATTACGAAACTTGCACATCATATCAGATGGTTTCAAGCTTTCAAAGTTTCTTATAGAGAGTATTTATTGGGCTTTGAAAATGCTGAAGTTTTTTTCGGTGATTTGTGTTCTATATGACATAAATAGAGTACCATTTACACAGAGAGAACTCTCAAGAAGGGATTCTATAGTGGTTCTCCAGGTTGTCGCTAGTCTCTTTGTGAGATGGAATATGTTGATAGGATGAGCCAAATAGTCCTCTAAATGACTTACATCCACATGTATATGCTTCGTGTGTTGAATTATTCTGGGAAAAAGCAAATGAATAAAATTAGATATATATATTTATATTGATATATACAGAAATAAAGGACATGAATGGAGATTAGCTAATTGAATATGAAATTATAATGTCTACAAGAAATAAATAGATTGAAAGGTATCAACTTTATGAAATGATCAGTCAAGAGGTGTACAATTTAACACAGTATACGAGTACATTTCATGGGGTAATGACGGCATATTTTTAGGCTTATCTGACTATTTTCAGGATTCTCTCTCATTTTGCTCAACAGCTAGTTGTAATGTTCAGTTGCATAGCAATCATAGTAATGTTACATCGTTTTCATTAGAGTGAAATTAATTATGTCATGATAACCTTTTGTATTAGAATTTTTAAAAAAATGAACAAATATCATTCGATTTCAAGATTTTCAATTTTACTAACACGTCCTTCGAAATAAGTGACCATGTGCACTCATATAATAAAATGTGATATTTTTATGCAACATATATTGTTGAACTGACTTGTAAAAATCATTTATTTGATCATTAATAATAATCATTGAAAGTGGATATGTTTTGTTTGTGATTTTCAGCATGGATATAGTACGGACTACTAGGTATGTAACCTCTATGTAGGCTACAACTGATACCCACATGGTATTTTTCTAAACAGCTAGTTGTAATGTTCAGTGGCAGAGCAATCATAGCAATTTTACATTGTTTTCATTAAAGTGAAATTAATTACGTCATGATAACCGTTTTTATCAGAAAAAAAAAGTAATTTAAAAAAAAATCATCTAATTTCAAGACGGTTTCGATTTCATTCGCACCATCTTCGAAATAAGTGATCAAGTGCACTCATATAATGAAATGTGATTTTTTTTTTTTTTGTAACAGATATTGTTTACCTGAATTGTAACACTCTATTTTTTTATAATAATCATTGAAAGTGGTTATATTTTGTCTGTGATTTTGAGCATGGATATAGTACGGACTACTAGGTGTGTAACCTCTATGTACGCTACAATAGATACCTATATAACCATGACTGCACGGGTCTCCGTGTCTTAGCCTGATAAAATCATTCATCCATGACTGATCCCATTCTACCTGAGCGCTCACATGACCACGACTCGACTAGCGATAAGGGGACATAACCCATGGTATCGCGTAGAAATTAATGTAGTTGCAAATGAACCAAATAGCTTCAATATCTCACCATATTTCATTCTTTTCGTGAAAATATTGCTACATAATTTGTTATATGAGACATGAATACCTTTCGACAAGTTGGTTTTATTAGTTGCATCGGAGTTTGAGCAAAACTGTGTACTATATATGCAAATGAGTGTTACCCACACAGCCGACTTTACGGTCCGGATATAACAAATTCACAAAAGGGTGGATGGTGGGAGTGTCCTCCTCCCAAAAAGAAGCCTTCAACTGTCACTATATTCTTAGATAAGAAAGCTAGATACAGTAGAGCCAAATAAACTGTACCTTGCAACTGTTCCGCCCTTTAGGGGTTAAAACTATTAAGTCCAAGAGCCGACTAAGGAAAATCCAAAAAGTGATCAAAAGACATTGCACGATTGTTCCTTGTGTTAAAATTCTCAGCTGCAAAGTTCTGGGATTGAATGCTCCGATCGGGTCTTTTTTGGACGGGAGATCACATGGTATTTTTCTAAACAGCTAGTTGTAATGTTCAGTGGCAGATCAATCATAGTAATGCTACATCGTTTTCATTAAAATCAAAATAATTACGTCATGATAACATTTTTTATCAGAAAAAAAAAATAATTAAAAAAAGAAATCATCTAATTTCAAGACGGTTTCGATTTCATTAGCACCATCTTCGAAATAAGTGATCATGTGCACTCATATAATAAAATGTGATATATTCATGCAACGGATATTGTTGAACTGAATTAAAACACCCTATTTTTTTTTATAATAATCATTGAAAGTGGTTATATTTTGTCTGTGATTTTTAACATGGATATAGTACGGACTACTAGGTGTGTAACCTCTATGTAGGCTACAATAGATACCTATATAACCATGACTGCACGGGTCTCATTGTCTAAGCCTGATAAAATCATTCATCCATGACTGATCCCATTCTACCTGTGCGCTCACATGTCCACGACTCGACTAGCGATAAGGGGACATAACCTATGGTATCGCGTAGAAATTAATGTATTTGAAAAGGAACCAAATAGCTTCAATATCTCACCCTATTTCATTTTTTTTCATGAAAATATTGCTACATAATTTGTTATATGAGACATGAATACCTTTCGACAGGTTGGTTTTATTAGTTGCATCGGAGTTTGAACAAAACTGTGTACTATATATGCAAATGAGCGTTACCTACACAGCCGACTTGATGGGCCGTATAAAAGAAATTCACAAAAGGGTGGATGGTGGGCGTTTCTCAACTTCCAGAAAGAAGCCTTTGGCCGACACTATATTCTTAGATAAGACAGTTGGATAGAGCAGAGCCAGATTAAACTGTACCTACCAACAGTTTCACGCTTGGGAGATAACATGGTGTTTTTTCGAAAGGAAACATTAAATTATGAACCATTTATATTGATGGTTGTTTCACTTGTGCAATGCAGTGTCAACATCGACCTAATACTTCTGACAGCGTCTTAAATTACCAAAGTCTCGGGCGTATGTACCATGCCAAATTATAGGAAAGTTTTGTGGTAAATTAAATTTAATTAATCTGATATATGGTTGTAGCCTTTTGATATATATGTAAATTATTTATGTGTAAGTTTGCTATCGGATCACTTGTAACTGCTTGTTTGTAATAATGCCGGAGAGGGCTAAACACCATTTCAATAACTTCTGCCCAATCCCTTTTTCAAATATATATATGTTTAAAGGGCGATGATTGGCTTTCTTTGTTTCATACTATTTTAAATGAATTGAATTCTAATAATTGTGCGTGCTCGGGTTTTAAATCTACAGTCAGTGACAGATTTGCAGTTACAGTATTATATGAACAGCTACTTCTCATTTTACCTATATATGTCATGGGTATCGGCACATGAAGGAAAACACTATTATTGAGGAATAACCGATTGATCATTTTGCTATCCTATCTTTGTATCTAATGTGCAAAATCCATGCATAGTTAAGTTTATTTTCTTTTACTTTTAGAGAGCTTCTCATAAATATAATTATATCCTTTAAACAGTCAATGACTACCGCAGATGAAGAGCCTGCATTAATTATAATTCTATGTTTGTTATGATCAACAACTTTTTGAAAATGTACTAGCTGATTTTATTCAGTGTGTTTAAACATTCGAACTTTATATACTTTATAATCAAAATCTATTTGGGAACGTTCTGACTGATTTTATCTAGTTGGTTTAAGCAAATGTCCCCAAACGTCTGTATTGTAGTTAATGTTGTATCAGATACAGCGAGCATAATTCTACTGCTGACGTGTATGATAAATTTAACCGCTTGTGACGCGTGACGTTACCATGAAATAAATGGGACAAAAGCGTGTTTTTTAAGCATCAAATGCATTATTTACTATTTAATGTTAGCAAATATATTACAAAATGTATTCAGGTGCCAGTTCTATAAGTGGTATTTGCAAATCACTGACGCTTATACAATTATATCTAAATCGTGACAATTCATGAAGTGATTACCTAATAGCTTGTTTTTTTTTTAAACACTATGCTATAAAATGCCTTTTTTGTTTTAGAACAGATATCTGTATCTTACCTTGAATGCTGAAAAATGTCGTGTACATCTCCCTCACTGTGACCTTTCCTTTCAATTTCAACGATAGCATTGGTTAGACCTATTAGTTCCTCCTCTATGAAGTAGTATTTTTCCATATTAACATAGGAAAATAAATCTGATCCATAAACATTTTGTATGACAACAAATATAGAAATTATATAAAGAAACAATGCCATTTTAAACAAAATAAAATGTGATGTTAACGTAGACTTGCTGTCAGGTACAACGTGGATGGGTAAGTAACATCTGTGCTGAACCATCGATTAAATCTTTACCTCATATCGGACAAGACAAGATGTCGCATCACTGTATTATATAGATCACACGACACATCTCCTCACGGCAGAGCTGTAGTTAACTGACCACGTGATTGAAGTAACCGTATTCACCGGTATTCAATCAATATTTAGCATCAGATGGTGCACTGCTGTAAATGATTTAGTAATGGGGTTCATTGCCTTTAACGACACTAAATTACAGCTTTAAATTAAGTAATGATATCAATGTCGGTTCATTGTAATGATTTTTTTCTAACATTTTCTAGGTCTTGTAAAGATTTCAAATATTTCGGCTTATTTGTCCCTTTAGAGTTCCATTCTGTTCAGTCCCGAGTTTCGCTATTTTAAACTATCTTCTAAAAGGATGTTTGTGGCCAGTGGTACAAATATCAAAAATGTCAATTTCCTATGTAATCTATTGTAAAGTTTACCCCCTCACTACGTGGCACCGTGGGACAAGAAAAACCAGAGTTTCACATTAGCAGGGGCAGGGTAGGCCTGGAATTTTACAAATTTCATAGAGCTCCACAACTTTGAAAGAAGTTCTGATATCTCAAGGGATTGCAAACAAAGTTTGGCCGTTTCGTTCGATGGTGGCTTTCCCCTCTTACCCTCTTGGTAATCAGGCTGCAACATGTCACGATTTCGTACCGCCTTGGTCCAGGATGGGTGTGACGGATTTTGCTGCAATTTTGCTCGGTAGTTTTGAAAATCACCTTATATGCACGGAATGTTCTAATTGATATAAGACATAGATATTGATTTAGATAGTAATACTGGCGTTTTCCACTATTACCCGATTCTTCAATAAGTTCGATCAAATGTACAGTTATACATGTAATCATCAGACAGTGTACTTTATTTTCGCACTTCTTGGCCATAAACGCTTAATGTCAGCTGCTACAAGTATCATTCAAACACGTCCCTTATCAAAATTAAGATAATTTGTCCTATCATATATGTATGTGTATTCATTACTTATATTTTTAAGAAGGTTCATTAATTGTATTTTGACATGAGATTTAAATGTTTTGAAGCCGAGGTGACATTGTGCTTTGAAACCGAAAATACATCTAGTGCCGATTCTTAAGGTTGATGCTGTTAGTATGTCAGTTTTCTTCATATTATGCCATTCAGGTCAGTATGTTCTTTAATGTCGACTAGACACTTATTCTGTTGATGTAAATGTTGTGGTAATTAGCTGCATGGCTGTACGTATATGTCTGTCATTTGAGATCACGTCCTCGTTGACTCACGTGACCCCAAAGTGGAGCAACGCCAACATCGTTCTTAATTGTGCAAAGCGCAGCTTCTAAATCACTTCATGTTGATATGAAGTTTTGGTTAGGTCTAAACCGTTCAAACGTCTATCCATCTCCGTTATTTTTATGTCTACTCCCTGTCAAACCACCAAAACTTTTGCTCTCCACCGCCTTTATAACCATGGGTTAGAACTTTTGTTTCTTTTTATTCAAGTTGTAAATTAAATCAGAATTTCAAGTCTAAAATAAATGAATTGCAAACATATTTATAAAAAAGGAAATTTATCGCTTGCATAAAAACTAATTATGTCCAATTAAGCCAATTTTGGAACCATAAATCTGGTTCGGCATTTATTTTACGACAATTGCAAAACAAGTCATTCCAACTTATATCTATACTCTAGAGGTTTTACAGTGGTGGAAAACCAGAGTACCCGGTGAAAACCCACGTGATCGGACATATGGCTCCCATACCTTTTCACGACCGTTCGAGGGTTTGAACTTCGGACACTTATTTAAAAGGCGAATACATTACCAATGCACCACCCGACCACTCTTTCAAAGACGGGGCTATATATATATATTATTAAAATAGTTGACTCATTGCTGCCGAAATGTATCAAAACTTCAATAACACAAGTCATTGAAATAAACACAAAAACAAAACAAAAATCTACACTATGATTTACCCCTTTTGAACCCCGTATCAAGACAATTCATAGTAATGTTTAACCGGTCAATAAGCTATAGCCTAGGGGCGCCGGCATCGCAATGATTGCATCAACCAGTATTTTTCGAAAAAAAAACTAAAATATTTCGAATATTTCATTTAATGTGTAGGTATTAATGGTTATATCTGAATTTTCTCTAATTTTGTTTATCTAATGCTAAATGACGACAAAAGCAGTTTGAATACGATGGTGTCTTAATTTAATTTCAGTAAAAGAGATAAAAAATAACATCTAATAAGTAATATTCAAAGATTTGCTAACATTTTAATTGCCTGTTACCTGAAATAACATTTCCTTGAGTAGCCTTCTAATATAACTTCTCTTGAAAGATTAATAAAATGTCCTATTTTATCAATTAACTTGCGGTTCTCGTTTAACAGTGTTTCACAGTTGCATGATTATCTTACAAAACAACCGGCTTAAATTCAAAATTAGTTTGCGTATACATGTATATTAAAAAAAACTCAATTAGTCAAGATAGTACTTCGTAATACATTTGTAAATTCAGTATATTCTGCGTTGTTTTGTGCATATCACATTTAGAATTATTGCTGTTAAAATCAAAGACAAACTTCTATAAAGTTAAACATCAGATTCTGACATATTCGATTACAATTCAGATTACTGCCTTCATCCTTTTTCCTGCTCCCTCCCTCTCTCTCTCTCTCCCTATTTCGCATTTTTATACGTACATGTATACAATATATGAATAAATATAGAAACACTGGCAGTTGCGTAGGTTAAAATACATAAATACCATTCGCCATTTCCATTGAACATGATAGAAGTTCAACCTTTTCAATTACATAAAATTCATCCTTCCAATAGCACGCAACGCACATGTTCACCTTTCTTAATTAACATTCCACACATTCAGTCTTCCCGTCGAAGTGGCAAAAGTGAATCTTTCCGCACAATCACGAAAACCTTGTCCAAAAATAGCTGTTTGTACATATTTTTTCAGAATCTTCTGAATTCTTTACTCAAAAACACAAATCTGTTTTATATGTACTAATGACTCCGCTTTCCTTTCTTCTGAAGATTTGTTTTCTCTTTAACGATATATAATAGCACGTAAAGTGCCTATGTATTGTCTTCCTGTTAATGTCCCATGACGCCAGGTATGCGTAATAAATGTCTATATCACAGTTTTCACTCGCGGTCCTGTCAACACTGGTCAGCAAGCAATTACTCGCCTACCGCCGTACCTCTAATCTTGCCCTGAAATGATAGAGAAACACATAAGATACTTGTTTGGATTTCAAATATTAATTATTTACATCTATCAGAAAGGGCTACAAAAATGCCATTTTTTTCAAATTCTGATTAGCTTCATGATATATAAACATTTATCGGGCATTATTTGACTATCGTCAGCAAATTACATTAAAATTATTAGCTTAATATCAAAGCAAATAAAATGATGAAAAATGGAACTCTTAAGACAATTCATATTGTGCTAATCAGATTTTGAACAATGAAGCGGAGCTTTACTTAAAGTAATTTTCCAAACTAATCACGTTGGTATTCTGAGTAGAATGCTGCAAATGATGCAAAATAATCAACTGAATTTTAAAAGACAACCTGTTCATATTTACCTAATCTAAAGAACATACTAAACCAACAAATAATTACAGAATTATCAACAATTTACATGAAAAACATTTTGTATCATGATACTGTATAACGCACTCCACTTATCCTCTGGTTTGTACGTTGTAAAGAACATACATGTGTATTCAAGAAGACACTTATAATAATACATCTGTCTTTTTGTACGACAATGGATTTATTATGCAACGTGTATTTCCCAAATATATATATGTAGATAGATACATATATGAACAAATCATAGTATACAACCCATTCTGACTCACCAAGTGAATTAATGTTTCATTAAGAAATCAGTATCTGAAGTGTGTTTAATCCATTTTCGCTGATAGAATCAACGAGAAAGTTATATAGTATATAAATAAATTGTGAATCAACAGTTAATTTCCACACCCTACACGTAACACCGTTAGTACAAGCATTCACAAACGTCATGTACAGAAGAATTAATTCTTGTTTACAAATGCAAGAAAAAGAATCATACAATGTACATCATAAAGACATCCCGTGTGGTGATGTCATAGCGATAATGGAACAGGATTACCCTGGCAAATGGAAGAAGAGTACGACTTTGAGTCGGCGCATTATGAGGAACTTTTTAAGACGATAATGATCATTATTAATGTAAGATTTTAAGAGATTAGGAATGAAAAGTTCCATTGTCGAATTTATATCGACGTCAATCGTTTAATCGTCAAATAAATGACATTTATCTTTAAAATATTCCGACCCATGTGAGTATACAGGATCACAGATGCATTCGTAAGAGAAAGAACATTTCCATCATGCAGTCAGAATATGTGCTCCAGCAGGTAAGGACAAAACAAGGACATATTTTGGAAGTTGAGTGCCAGTCTTCAAGACAAAGGAAATACAACATGTAATACTCAAGACTCTCAACACAGGCGGATATGGTTTCAAATATAATAGTTTCTGTCTAGCTGTGATCCACATAAATGTCCTAGCTGATATACATGTATATAATTACATGTAGTACATGGATAACTTTGAAAACGAAACCATATTAAAGGAAAAAGGAAGCTACTGTTAAATACATGTATTATGCGCAGCGTATGGACACGATATACACTGAAGCATCATTTCCTTTACTGCATGTACTTAATCGTACAGCTGACATTTCATAGTATGTTTTACAAACCAACAACAATATGTTGATGTCAAAAATACATGACGTATCATTATTCTCCTGGCAGTGAATTTTCGCTCATTCTCTGATCAAGATCAGCTATGTAATGTAAAGAATCCTACACCAGGGTTTATGTATTATTGGATTTATAAAACCGGTCCAATATTAGTCTCAGAAATGATTGGATCTGTGATAGGGAAAATTAATAACCGAAAGAAGTGGCAGTTCAGCCTTTGCAAAATCTGTGTGTTTGGAGAAAGAGAATATATTCTAGTTAATCAACATCTTCAATACAATGCTTTGAACCCGATGTTTGTATTGTTGTCCCACACAGGTTCTGTAAGCTGGTGCCAATCTATATACCTTGACTTTTTCATTAAGCTGTTGTGAGCTGGTACAACTCTGCCCATGCAATGTCAAAATCATAGAAACCAAGTTGAAAGTAGAGATTAGTTTGTAATGATATATAAAACAATGACCTTCAGCGAAATTCTGTAATGTAATTGTCACAGTTTTAATCAAGTAAGACACACAAAATTATAAGCATGCATTCTCAAAAAATATGTTATTCCGATTGAGATACAGTATATATACCTACATCTGTTTCTCATAGTAAGTTTAATTTCATTGTATAATGTAATATATATTTACAACCCCAACTCTTGCAGCATCTCGGGCAGGTTATATAGTTGTATAAATGTGATGGCATGAATAAATGGACACATATTTCCATTTAAGCAGAGTATAGAGTGTATGGAGGACTTAATAACATCACACGCAGAAGAAACTGGCAAGACGCATGCATTGATACACAAAGGTTTAGTTAAAGATGGCGTGCAAGTAATTCAGATGAAAAAACCTTTTATTTGTTGAGTTTCTTCTTCCACTACATCCTCTTTTTTTTCCGCGGGCTCTGGTGATGCGGCTATTGTGGAAAATAATTTACAAATGAGATATATGACAAAATGGTATTACAATTAAACTTTAAAACTAACCTTTCTAAAAAACCGATATAACTTCAGATGTATACATGATATTTGCTGAAAAGAAACAACATAGTATCTATCTATTGATCTATCTATTTATTAAATTATATCTATAATGATCCTTGACAACGGTAGTAGATTAAATGGCACATATCAATACCTACACACAAGGCAGATCCGCTGATATACATACAAACTCTCAACTGTATCAAACTTTAAATGTACCCATACAAAAGTACGCTATCATATATCATAGTGTGTTAACGTGAGAAAGAAATCCAAAGAAAACGTCTAAAATGACAAAGATGAGTTAGTACTTATCGGAAAAGATTAATTAAAATGCAGCTGTCATAATTACCTAATTTACTACTTTATAACATAGAAAATCTGCATTTAGCATCACATATTAAGTCTACGCATGATATCAATCGGTGAATATGCACGAATGTTTCAATAATTTATATCTAAAAATATCATAGCCAATCTATCTTAACTTAAATTTCGAGTTCTCCTCTCTACTGATGCTGTCACTGTTTAACAGTTGTGCCATTTGTATGCATATCTTTCGATATTAGTATAAACAGGGACTGCTCAAAACATAAAAGACGTTTGATGGACAAACTCAAGATTACATGTATGTGGTTGTTCTAGTTTGCATTTTAATCTCACTCGTACGATACATATGATATCAATTCGGCTCTAAGTGAATCATTCATGTGTAAAACTGAACTGATTTATTGTAAAGAACAAAAGTTACCTACAACAATTTCTTAGAAGAATACTTAAATGAAAATATCAGCAATCATTTATTATGTTATTCAACGTGGATAGACTGACCGAAACAAGACAGTAAATTGTTTATTAGAAGGTTATGGGTAAGAATATAAATAATACAACAACAGTGTATATATATCAAAGTAAACGATTGGGTGAATTAGTGATATAAAAGAAACACTGAGTAAGTCAAAGAAAAGTTCACACAAAAACGACTGTTTTTTCTCTCATGATTATGACCATTAACAAGTAGGCTTGCCACAGTGATATGACATCAACTACATTTCGTGCATAGCGGATTTGAATGTAAAGCGATACAGGACCAGATGAATCCACAAATTCTGTTTAAACCGGTATGATAACAAGTAAATTTCAACAGTGGCCAACATTTTTCCTTGTAAAAAGCTTGAAAGATGCTTAGATAGCACCAAATTCTTTGCCTTATTAGTACTTGATTCGCTGGAAGGAAACCAATTATTTAAATGTTAAACATTATTTTCAACTATGCCAAAAGCGTTGATATTGTCACCATTGCAATATTAAGAATAATGAAGTAAGATGGAGGTGGGGTTAGTCAAAAAAAGTAAGTTAGGATGTGTTTGTTCCACCTTTTTGTTCATCTTTTTCCACTTCCGCCTGGCCTGCCTCGTCCGGAATTTCCTCGGTGTCATCTTTTCCTAAAAACAGCAGTGATAAGCGTGAAGCATATTCTAACAAAAAATAAAGCTACAGACTATGCAGTCGCCATTGTTGTAAACAAACCAAATCTTGTGCGTTTTATATGCTGAAAATAACTAAGCCTGTTCTAACATATTCTTTTTTCTGATTTATAAATAAAAGCGGCAGCTCAAAGTGGTTTTTAACTTTTCTCAAAAACATATTACAAATAGCGTAAGCATAATGCAATTCATTAGATACAGAATGAAGATGAAGAGAGTACATAACAGTATCAGATACCACGAACCTTTCTTGTGTAGGAACAATAAAGACTACAATTGATCCCATATTATTGTTTTGAGGAGAGTTCTTTGTCCACTGAATACGTAACAAAATACATATATTGAATGTTGAACGCACATCATACAATGAATCGGAGAAAGTAAATGCTTTTGTTTAAACATATTTGCTGCTTCAAATTCCATGTGTCTCGCAAACTACCATAATTGCAATTGCCCTGAAAAGCAGCAAAGCATTTTTAAAACTAATATCTAAAGTAAACTTGTTACAAATATATATATATATATATAAAGATGTCAGTTCATATTTTATATACAAATCATATTAGAAGTTTCTAAATGAGAATAGACAATTATAGAATATGTAAAAAATTAAATGATACATAGTAAGTAGTTTTTACGAATGAGAAACGTCTCTAAGACCATATATCAAAGCCTGCTAACTTTAACAGTTATCATAATTGGCAATCAATTATAATGAATTCAATATAATTCATATCACTACACTCACAAAGTCGTTAATAAATACGAACACAACACTCTGTCAATGAGCCATACAACACTGAGCAACATCACTATCCCAGAGTGTTAATAACATAAATCATCATCGTTGCTTCACATCAATATCAACATGCATTTCCTTGATAACCTGTTACATCAAATCCATATAAAACATGGGACATGAAATAGCCCATCTTTTAATAAATAAACGTTCAATGTTAGGTATAAAATGAATCTGCAAAAAAACCAAAATCAAATTATTTTGTTAATGCAATAATTCATTGTCATTTTAACATCGAGGTTTCGTAAAAGGAATCAATACTTTCTGAACACTTGGTCTTATCCTCCGTGTACTGTTTCTGAAGTCAATCTTTCTATTGTTCAAATAATCCCTAGTTTCATTTGATTTTAGTTTGAATTATGATTATGTTGTCACATCGGTATTTTCTTTCTATGTTTAGATACCACTGATGAGTTCTAATCGGTAAATCCAGAAGGAAAAAAATCAAGTCGCGAGACACGTGTAACAGACGTTTGAGCCGGTCTACATATGGACGATCACACTGTGGTGAAGTACAATACACTAAAACTGGCGTCCAGGAAACACAGGTTAGGGGGCTTAATTTGTAACTAAATCCTGTAAATCGTACAACGGTCGCGTCATCAAATGTAAACTTTAGTATTACGGATTTAAAAACACGTGGGAGGTTCAATATCTCTTCCACGTGTGTTACGATATAATCCTTTCTGCACATTACTTCAACATTGTGTTGTTTTTGTAGAACAAATAACGGATTGGTTTTTTAATTTGATCAGTTTTGTCTTAACTCAGGATCCAATAACGCGAAACTGCGTGTATTAATAAACAAACCAAATTATTATAGTCAACAATTTCAGGCAAACGGTTATTGTCATCAAACTTTACAAACATCTAACAACCTCCTTTCGTTTCCGAGATTCCTCCTACGGATCCTTTTGCCGATCCTCTCGCCGATTCAACAACAGAACCTGCGGCAGGTGATGCTCTCTGCTGGGCACTACCTGGCGCTGACCTGCCACCTGCCGATCCCTTGGCTGACCCTTTCATAGACCCCTTTGCCGAGCCCTTAGCCGACCCCTCTTTGAACGAGACTTCCCGCGATTGTTTTGTTGGTGAGTACGTTTGTCGCCGAGAAGATTGCGACATTTTAGAAGGGGATGGCTGGGCAGAACGCTTTGTCGGTGAGCCGGCGAGAGATCGTTTTGTTGGCGAATGAATAGGTGAGCGCTTTTGCGGTGATGCTGTCTGAACTGAACGTCTACCCGAACCCTCTGAACGACGGGTCGGTGAGGTTGGAGCTTTATCGATTATCTCCTCTTTAACACCTGTAAATTGTTTATCAAGATTACGATAAAAAGATGCAAATTACTACACAATTTTAACATGATATAACCACACTAATCATGTGGAAAGTAAAACATATCTGTGGTCTGTCTATGAAGAGGAAATTGATACAAGATGACTGAACCGGAGTAAATATTGTTCACCACATATATAACACATAATAGCACCTGCAATATCTTTCACAAAAACCAGAAATCCTGAAAAAAGTAACAACAGGAATGTTTCCATGTGTACATGCATGTTAACAAACATGCGCTAAATAAATGGACCACAATCTGCGGATTATATATACATGCATAATTTACTTCCAAGACAGAAGTTTCCCTGTACATGATATACAAAAATACAATATTACTACAAACATTCAAACAAACAACACAACTATGAACAAAAACACCGACATGATTTTTTATTTGTGAAAAGTACATCTACATTGTTTGTACCGTACATTGAAACTAAGAACATGCACTAAATTTCAACGCCGCTAAAAACATTTCATATACTTTATATATATACTTATTGGCCACGATAAAAGGGCAAAAGCCAGGAATTAAATAACAAACGACACCGATATTCACTGGGTATAGGGTTATGCTATGATGCATGATGTGTGAGCTGTATACAAGAATGCTGCATGCGGTAGAACATTTACATAATTGCCCGGATGCGCACTCACCATCCCGACCTGGCGGAGACACATCAGGTTCTACAATGTTGTATGCGGATCCAGTTGGCTCTGTTGCTAAAGATTTCTCCTGAATCTTAACAAATGATGTTTTAGATACCGCCAGTTCTTCTTGTATTTTCTTTTCCCTTGCTTTATCAATAGGATTTGGTGATGTATAACCCTGTAATGTGTCTCTGGATTTGTCTGGCGTTGATCTCCTAGTGCTGATCTTCCCTGGTGAAGAGTCAGATCGGACAGAATCATTACTTTTCCTTTTAGATTTTGTAACAGATGTTTGTGATCTTTGTGTATTGAGTACTGGAGATTGCACAGTGGCCTTTCTATTAAGCAGGGTTGTTACAGCTGGGACGCCATACGGGGATATATCAGATTTCCTTCGTGGTTCTTTTGAACTGCTGCGTCGTTTCTTCACATTATCGGCACTTTTTTGTTTCTGTGGTATCCAGTTTCTAAAAGGTTCCTGCACTTTTCCTTCTGCATCTCTGGTAATGTCAGATATTGCAACTGTTTTGGTTTTCTTGCCCGGACTATGTCTTCTTTCATCAACCTCAGCATCTGAGTTCCGCCTTTCGTTTTCCTTTGATTTTCCAGCATGTGTTTCACTCGCAGGCTGTGCCTGATTGTCAATCGTTCTCTCGGGCTGTTTGCTCTCCTTCATTGCTTCCGTCGCATTCTTCTGATTGCTTGCTTTTCTTATCCTTAGTGTTTCTTCCATAGATTTTTGTTTGATTACTTTTTCTCGCGGCTTCACATTTCTTGATAGTTCCGAACTTTTCGATCTAGTTTGTATCTTTCTGGTATCTTGTTGGCTGGTCATCCCCTTTGGAGTTTTCTTGTCTTTTACTTTGGAAGCATTTGGCGAATCTGTATCATTCTTTAACACAGGATCCTCTACAACTACATGTTTGTGTTGGCTTTTCCCCGATTTAGAGGGAGATGCCCGAGAATCTTTCGAACCAGGGCGACTTCCTGTTGTATCATTGATATATTTGAACTGCAATTCTTCCGGATGGTTTCTATTTGGCTGGAATTCCGGATTATCCTGATTCTGTTTTCCATTCTCATTATTGCCGGATTCATCTACTTTCGCATTAGCAGTTATAGAGTTAGGCACTTCTGGTTGACTTGTTTTTTTAACATCACCATCATCATTATCATCATCTTTTGATTCTTTATCCGCATGTACAATTTCCTGTATCTGATCGCCGGAATGTAAATCACGTGTGCTGTGATTCTCTGAATGCGTAGCTTTGTCGCTATTACCTTTAACGTTGACATCATCATTCGGTATTTTTTCTGTTGTAGTTCCCTCGGATATGTCAGTCTCGGTCAAAGACTTCTGATTTTCTTGGCTTTTGGCACCAGGATCTTCTTTGTCTTCCATTTCATCCGAGTTTACGGATGACATTTGCTGTTTTTCCCGATTTTCATCAACTTTACCACCATCACCAAAACACGTATCTGCATCTATATGTTTACCGGGAGGTGATATGGGAGACTCGGTGAGCGCAATCTCATCGTCTGTAACATTTGTCTTGGCAGTATCGTTCACAGATTTACTGTCTATTCCGACAACTTGCAATTCGTTTTCGTTACAGCCATCTTCTTTGCAGTCGTCGGGATCGCATATTACTGAAGATTCCTTAGAGCGGTGATGTCCTGGCTCCTTATCTCCGATGACTTGTTTTGTTGGTGTGTTGTTCTTCTTGACTCCATCTATTGGACTGACAACCGCTGCTTAAGTGGAATTGTGTGGTAAATGAATTTATGCTAGTAATCAGGATCTTGTGGTAAAAAAATAAGAACTGTAACACTACATTAAAGATAGTAATTCTAGATATTCTGTAAACACAGTACTGTTCAAATTATGGGTTTACAGAACAAGAAAATGTTTTTAACTCTACGCGTATCAACATCAACATTCCATATGGAACAGTTACAGTAAAATAACATTTTTGGTGGTTCTATATTCGAAGATGAAATGAAACAAAACAAAAAAAAAACAAAAAACAAAAAACAAAAACAAAAACAAAAGGACTGATACCTAGAAAATCTCACTGTACGAAAGAAATTCACAATCCGTTTACCACATTCCGTCAAAAACATATTTTTGACATAATCTTTAAGTAAGACCACAATAATTTTGAAATATCTAATACAAAGGTTTACAGGATCTTGAACTGTAATATATTTACGTCACAATCTGCATTACAAGTTGAAATACGTTCATCGTCTATTCGATTACTTCATTACAAAATTACTTAAATACTATTTAAGGCATAAAAATAGTATTTCATAATGCAAGTAAAAAGAAAAGTTCAACCTCACATAAAAATGCATTCAATAAATGAATGTGTTCTACACATGTGGTGCACTTTTTCATGCAGTCATTATGCGAACGTACCTGATACATGTATTCACAGTTAAACCATGTACTTGGTATATGTGAATATCGCAAATTGCATCAAATGATTTCGTGCATTGTGTCGCTGTGAAAAATAATACGATCACTTTTGCGAACGGTTTGATTACTGTATTGTGAACAAAATTAATTTTACTACGACATCAACCGAACATTTTTGTCCATAAAACGATAACTTGAATCATGTATAGAAACTGATAATTCTCTGTTTGTTGCCACTTTTTCATTGGCCTATTTAAAAATCATAACAATAATTTCTACCAAACGAAAATATCGGAGTTTGAAGCAAAATCTTAGTTGGTCCACTTCTATAGTGTTAGAAAAATTTGAAAATTAAAAAATCATTATTGAAAAGAGAATCATATAATGTTTCGGGCCAACAAAATCTGACAAAATTGTGAACTTGTCAATGATAGTTATAATACAATGTAATTTCAGCTTATTAAACCCAGGTACTTCACATTATCGTTTTGAGAGCTCAAAATGTCCACTCTAATTACTCCAGCTACAATAAACCTTTTCATCAATTGAATCAATACATTTACGTATCATTCGTTAGTATGTATTAAAATATCAAAAGATTTATTGATTCAGTCAAATGTGTTTCCAGTACAAGTATACTTGAGACATGAGTTAATATGTAGTTGGTAAGCATTTTTTCATGTTTTCTTCCGTATATCTTATTTATTAGTAAGTGAAACTACCTTTTTACTTATAATTTCATCTACCTATTAAACAAAAAACATAAAAAAAAATAAAAAAAATGCAGCAGTTAATAACATTGCGTTAATCATTCTTGAGAGAAAATATATTATCTATACTAAAATGTTGTGCAGATTGTTTAAAAGCAGCATATAAATATGAAATGAACTTGCATTTTTGGGCATTCTATTAAATTAAGAGTATCTGGAAACACATAAGTCGAATGTCTTTATAGTAAGGAACGTTATGACAAGCTAGGCTTCAGTATCATTAAAGTAGCTTATGTTATATTTCTGCCGTAGGCAGCTTCTGAAAAAGAGTCAGTCCAGTTATGTATCCTCAGATCTAGCTGCTGTAGAAAGAAAATTGTCAAAGAGAAAAGGGTTATTGCGTAATTGACAACATCGATAAAAAGTTATTACTTTGTATTTCTCCAAATCTGATCACAGAAAATGCAAGAACAGTTTACATTGTGTAACACTCGAATAAGTAAAGATGTCACTGTTTGTCTTTCTCACGGGTTAAAAGTTTCGCGATTTAAATAGCGTAACAAAAATAACTGGCTACATGGTAATTCAGTTTAGATATATATATATTATGCAACATTACAATTTTAGTTAATGATTTTGCATAATGTTATATTAAATTTTTTCAGATATTCATGTGTATCACAAACAAAACTGAATTAATTAGTACATTGAATTCAACAAAAATTGCCTTCACTATAATGACACTATAGGAGAATGCATTTTATACCTCACATTCTGTAAGATCTAATGTACAGGTATATTTGTATGCCAGTGCTCTTTATAGAGTGTCATAGTCTCAATGTCACTCTCCTATCCTAATATTTAATTTAATGTTTCTTTGTTTGATAAGTTTATTCAGGACTCATCACTATTTTTCTGGATTTCTTGTCTTTTAATTTGAATTTTCATCATTCCTTTACACTGAAGCACTCTGTTATCCAACGAATGCCTGTCAGGTAACTAATTTGATATTCCTAAAATATAATTACTATTGTAATCTTATGAAATATTACTGTCTGTCAAATATGAGTTCAAATCAAAGCTTTTGAATGACACAGATGCTAACATGACATGACTAGATATTGCATTTTCTATGATTCAGATTTAGAGGCAGCAAATGTGAGATGATAATGTGTGTAATTAAAGAAGGATTTCTTTTGAAATAGTAAACAATATGTACCTTTGTCTTCCTCAAAATCATCTTCATAATCTAAAAATTTTATGTAATAAACAAATACAGAAATACGTGTAAAAAACAACATCAGTATAAAAACTGCGACAATAATATTTTTCAAAGAAGAGAAAATTAAAAAAAGTATGATAAAAAGTGACATGACAAAGAATAAGCGTCTGTTTTCAACATACATGTATGTAGGACAAACAGTTAATGGTATAAACACACAAATCCTATTTGAATAACAAATTGTTTAAACTGTGAAAATTGTGTCATTCTTAACTGTCACATTGTCTCAAAGACATCTTTATAATCTATGTATAAATATTTGGTTCTATCATTTTCAAGACTCTACTTCCCTGTTAACTCAGTAAAATTGCGAAATAATAATAATGATTGGTATGGAAATAGATATGTCAATTGCCAATTATTAAAACATTCACAAACCCTTTCTAACAAAACATGAAATCATGAAAATGATGTGTGTATACATCTCTTAAAAGACTCTAAGAGTAAATAATAGCTGATTACTGATTTTCCACACATTGTAATGGATAAACACTAGCTGGAAAAATGTATTTTCCGTGTGGAAAAATATTTAATAATAATCTAAAGTATCATATAATTTGTATCTTTATTTCAAAACTTTTCACAACTTTAAACAAAAAAAAGTGGAGAGCAAACATTGAAATGACAAATTTTCAATGAGGCAGAGTGACAATAACATGATTTTTTTTCTTGAGATCCAATGGTGAAAACGATGCAGTCTAAATTACATATTTTCGACAGTATCATCACATGGCGATATTCAGGCAAAGGGAAAATAAACCCACTATACAGTTTGCTGTGGTTGAATAACAGAATACTATGCTTCCCTTAGTCTGATTTCTTGTATTGAAATAATCTAAAGGTGTCACGAGCTTTACCAAAAATCTATTTCACAGTGGAGATATCTAAGCTATGTATCAGCTTTAACAAGATCATTGAAATATATAATGTAAGCTCCTCCCAAATTCTAGCATAACTAAAAATAAGAAATAAAACAAACAGATTTAAACAGTTCTTAAAAACTACACTGAAAATAAACATGAAAAAAGCAAGCAATCATCATGAAAATGTGTGATGGCTAAAGACAATGATAAAGAAAATAATACAAATTGGAGACAGGGGTTATGGCAGTATGGAGTGCTTCAGATGTATTTCATTTACAACTGATAAAAAATCCACTAAAAGAAAAATAAAACAAAGCTTTCATACTCTGGTATCAAAACAAGGTATATCGGAGGTATATTTTAAACTTTGCTGGTCGTAAATACAGTTGAATGTACTGTAAAACATCAGACTGCATTAAGAATACCACAGTTCTGTAGTCTGTGAAATGAAAATATAAAATTAAAAAATAATTTGTAAACAAATAAACAAAATAAGCACTAACCTGCTTTGCTAGAAGCTCGTGATTTTCTTCCTTCATTGTCTTCATCTTCAGCACCCTTGACTTTCTTTGCTGAAAAGAAAATACAAAATTATCAAACTGAATAAGAGAGGTTACTGGTTTCCTGGCAAATATCCTACATGTAAAGGTAGATTTTATAAACCTAATTACAGAAATATGTGTACCACACGATAAAAGCTTGATAACATACCATGTTTGTTTAGAACTATGGCATACTCTGCCCTTTATCTTAGGACACTTATCTAACCTAGGTATTCTGAGCTGTAATATAAGGAGCTGTGCATGTAAGACTTATGTTTTTAGGACTGTGGTTTATTGGGTTACATACATTTATATGTATACCAAACTGGGTTAATTAAACCATTTGCAGAGTACTGTAGGTTATTGATTAAGTCTTACAATGTTAAGAATGGTGGGTTATTGAGCTCTGTCAGTCAAAAAATGTATGTTAGGAATTTTTGGTTATCAAGTCCTAAATGTTAGAAATTAAGGTTATTCAGTCCTTTGTGGTAGATCATGTGATAGTGACTTTTGGTTTTGAATCCTACAAGTTAGGAATGGTTGGGTTTTGAGACTCTGTGTTTTAGGAACAGTGGGTTATTGAACCATGTGCTAGGAACAGTGGGTTATTGAGGCGTGTGATAGGAGCTGTGAGTTATTGGGCCCATTGCCTTAGGAATTGTAGGTTAATGAGCCATTGTGTCAGGAACTGTGGGTTATTGATCTATGTGTTAGGAACTGTGGGTTATTGATCTATGTGTTAGGAACTGTGGGTTATTGAGACCGTTATCTTAAGAACTGTGGGTTATTGAGACCATTATCTTAAGAACTGTGGGTTATTGAGACCATTGTCTTAAGAACTGTGGGTTATTGAGCCCATTGGCTTAAGAACTGTGGGTTATTGAGCCCATTGTCTTAAGAACTGTGGGTTATTGAGCCCATTGTCTTAAGAACTGTGGGTTATTGAGCCCATTGTCTTAAGAACTGTGGGTTATTGAGCCAAGTGTGTCAGGTGTAAGTATCAATTCACATATTCAGTCTTTTGTGTTTAGATGTGTAGGATATTCAGTCCTGTGTTAAGAAGTGGGTTACTGAGACCGTGTGTTAGAGCTGCTATTTTCACAATCAGATAGAATCAATACGACCTCACTCCAAACAGATAAGAATAATCATTTTTGCAATGAGGAAATATCAACATATACTGGGTATACAATGTTGATTTCACAGGAAATAGAAAATTTGCAGGGAGCATTAAAATTTCACAAAATATGTTGGCTTAGGTCTAGATGTTATTTCCATATACTTAATGTAATGTTTCTGTATAGCATTTTCCTATGTTGCACCTATAAGTAATTGAAATGAAAATTCATTAGTTACTGATCTATGATAAAGGAAATGTGTTCTACTTACAATCTCGGCTCTGTGCAGATTTTCTGTCGTCAGCATCCTCTCCAGGTCTGTAATCAACCTTTTTGGCATCAACTTCATCACCCTCATCCTCATCTTCCCCAGCTCTGTAACCCTTGGCGATTTTATCTTTGACCTCCTCTAATGCTTTCTGTACTGCAGTTAAAGCAGCGTCGTCTTCTAATCTCTTGGCGAGTTCTAAAGCTTCCTCAAATGAGGTGTGAGCAGACTGGTAGTCCATTGATTTCACTGTAAAAATAATGAAGAATTCACAACTATGATAATTATATTCAATTTTTTAACATTTATATCCTGACAAGTTATTTTTGAGCTGCAAAAGATTGTGCCTGATCCTTGTTGTGTGACTTGAAAAATGAACTATATATAAATGAAAAAATCACATTTATAAATGTTTTGAATCATTTCTAATGATAATGATGTAGAAATTAATGATTTCATACAAACCTGCCTCACAGGCCACTAATATACAATGTATGATGTCTACATTGTTTGGTAAATTTATGTAATAAATAGTTAATGGACCTCTATATAAAGATGTCCTGTCTATAAAGGTCACATGTTTTGACCCTGAGTAAATATAATGCATGGTAATATTACCTCTATATAAAGGTCATTTATTTTTATAGTAATTTTTTCTACTCTCTCAAGTGGCCTCTATAGAAATGTTGAACTGTACATCAAATCTGGCTTATCACATTAATGTTATTTAATTCAGTGGATATACCAACATGATATTCTGGCATATCACCTCATTTATAACATACCATGACGCCATGGTTAGATAACAAAATTATATCATACACTTGCAGGTTACTACTGAGACTAAAGATATCGAACTACAGAACATCAAATGTGACATGGAAAAGCATTTCTGCAACAATATCTGCAAAAATAATTGATCATGCAACAAAAAGGATCTTACATGTTCTTCCATTTGCAATGAAACTGAAGGAATGGGTCTTAAACAGAAAATTTGTGACACGTTTTATTGACTCCATATAAAAAAACTAATATAAAGACCACTATATATACATACCCTCTGACTGTGCCACTAAGACGGTAGCATGGAGCTGCCAGCCATCATCATCAGCCTCCTGTGCAGCTGATAGTGACTTCTCTCCATAATCACGAGCCTTTTCATAATTTTCACTCTCCAGGTAACATCTTCCGATTTCATGGAATAACCATGTTTTCTCCAGTGGAGATTTACTGAGTGGCAATTTTTCCTCCCATCTAATAAAGAAAAGTTTACACGCTTACCACACAGTAATGTGACAAAAATCTTAATTCAGTTGTAGTTAAAGTCTGACATGCTCACTTCAGAATTGATTTTAATACAGACAAAGATAAAAAAAAACAAAACAAGATTTCAAATCATCTTCACACTGTACCAAGAAACAGTTATTTCACCAACATAAACAAGACCTGAGGTTAGGATAATGTCAGGTTTCAGGTATGGACAAACCACAGACATATTTTCAAAGTTTTGACACAACTTCTATCAATCATTTCTAACCTTTAATAGAATGCATACAGCAGGACTATTTGACACTAGTGTGGAAGTTTCAGACATCAGTTAAATTTCATAATAATGTTAAAATAACCCTTAATCAGCAGATTGTTTAATTTCTCGAGGTTAATATTTTTTACATGTTTTGTTTGAGGCTGTTTCACAGGATTGAATTCCCTGAAACACCTGTAAACATATTTTCGAAATATTTGACCACTGTTAACATGGAAATGTACATGTTAAGAAAATTTATATTAAACATGCAAAAGTCATACGGCCACGAAAATTTCACCTGTGTAAATGAATTTGTAATGTATTACATAAATATTGAATTTTACATTAAATATACGAAGCTTACACTGATCATAAAATTAACCCCCTTGTGAAGGATTTGCCTATTGAAATTGTGAAATAATAATCTCAGCCCTGCCCCATGTCACAAAAATAACCATAACAATTTTTACATTAACTGTAGAAATATCTGCCCCATATTACAACATTAACCACAACAATATTTTCAGTAACTGTAGAAATATTTGCTCTTTGTTTAATTTGGCGCTGTCTTTAATGACTGCAAACATAACTTAACTACATGTAAACCACCATTAATATTTACACCTATACAGCAAATGTTTGGACTCTGTACTTACACTTTGATGGCTTTTTCATACTGTCCTTTCCTGGCGTAAACTCGCCCTATGTTGTCAAGGGCTCTGGATTTAGCATCCTCCAGTCCACTGAAAAGTACACATATGAAATATAGATAAATGTAAATACAGTATATATGTACACAACGAATTGTCTATGTATTTACATAAGCAAAAAAACAGACAATTTGAGAGAAGAGAAATTAATTTACTTTTTGAGATGAAATTATTCTTCTAAATTAAGAGACAAGATGATGAAAAAAAACACAGAAAAAAAAACTCACCATTTCTCTGCCAATTTCAAGTCCTCTTGATGGTGTTCAATTGCAGGTGAATATTTGCCCATTTCCAGGTAAGCATTTCCCATTTGGCTGTGGATGTTTGCAACAATCTCCCATTTATTAGAAAGCTCTTGCTCGTCCATGCTATTCACTGTTTTCATCAATTTCTTGGCTGTGCTTAGACTAGTTTCATATCGACCTTCAGATTGAGCTAAAAATTTAAAAAACAAGAGTTTTAGTGAACATGATGAATGCTCTCCGAAAATGACTTTATTGGACACAAAACGTTATCAAAGGACAATAATTCTATAGTAAAGAAGTTGTAGGGACTAAATTTGGTTTACCTCACATTCTCTTTGTATAACTAATGATTACACCAAGTTTCAATAACTCCTCAATTATGCATAATAGAGTTATGGTTCCTGTACACGAAATTTTTACTTATCAACATCTATCTACCTATGAAGTTTCATGTTAATACCTCTTGTGATATGCTCTGGACAAAATCATGACGGACGGACTCACAGACAGACAAAGCAGGGACTATATGCTCTCCCTTTGAGGAGCATAAAAACATACACATGTCATCATATGGTAAAACATAGAGGAGTTACAACAGTAAACAGGGGATCTCCCATTTAAAAGTAGATTAGACTGCTCGCATATTCTACCCATACAGTAATTTTCACCGAACAAATGATCTGTGCTTCTCAAATTCAGTTACATCTGAGGTGGGAAACATGGAAATCAATCATATATTTTCCTTAGAATTCAAAAAGAAAAAAATCAAAAGACGCACCTTCATCTATTTCCTCTAGGCTTTGCATGATGTATCCGACTCGATCTTGTGGACGAGACCTTCCACTGCGACGCATTCTTTCTTTGTCTCGTTTGCGAGCATACATGGGTTTCTGTTGGCGCCAAAAGTCAGCACGACTGTTGAGATAGTCCAGGCCTTCATATATATGTTCCTTGATTTCACGCTCCATGTATGACCTTCCACCTGTCAAGTCTACAAGAAAATATCAATAGATATAATGCATTAGGTGAAATTTATAGACCAGCTGTGGGTTTTTTTTATCAATATAAGACAACAGAACCATCAGATTTATTACACAATTTATAAGTGCAGTAATACCAGCTCTGTTTAAATTGTAATCATTATTAGGAATAATACCCTAATTTCTAAAATAATAAGCTTAAGCTTGGTATCAAGGTTTATTGTCCCATAAACATCTAGCCTCATTTTGAAACTGCTTCCTTGTAGTAGCTGGTGGCTACCTCAGTGAACAACATAAGGAAGGCTCACCACATGCTACCCAAAGCAATTAGGGTAAAGTATCTTGCCCTAAGTGTCTTCCTTAAGTGTCTTACCCTAGGTGTCTTGCCCTAGGGTGTATTGCCCTAAGTGTCTTGTCCTAAGTGTCTTACCCTAGGGTGTATTGCCCTAAGTGTATTGCCCTAAGTGTCTTGCCCTAGGGTATATTGCCTAAGGTGTCTTGCCTTAGGTTGCAACCACAACAGCACAAAGGTCCGGTTATTTCTATGTGTCCAGTGAAACACAAACTATCATGTGTAAGCAGAGTCAAACTTGACACCTCAGATCTTCCTCCAAGATTATACATGTATAAACACTATACTGCAGGAGCTCTCTCAGCCCCTCATGTTCCATTGTGTGTGTTTTGTAGAAAGTATTCAATAGAAGATAACAGAAAAAATAATTCACAGCTAATACTAATGCTGACATAAAGATGTTAAGAATATTAGTATTCAATAATAAAACACTTGTTTCCTACCACTGTAATTCTCCTGTTATAAGCCCACCTGGCTCTCTTTAGCTTTTCAGAGGAAATACTAATCAGTGGTCCTGTAATAAGCCCACAACCTGACTTTTGAGTCAGAATTTATCTGCTTGATTGGCAGTCTGGGCTCATTGCAGTAAAAATATGGTACTTAAAACCTGAATCTAACCTTACGTGACATGATCTGTAAGATCTAAAGTATCGTTTGACCTCTTTCACCTAGACTGCCTAGTTTTACTTACTTTCATCGTTAAGTAGTTTCTCCAGGTAAGTTTTATCACAGTACAGTTCCTCAAGGAGTTGTTTAATGGTCTTGGAGTCAGCCGCACTCTTCGGGCGTTCCCTCTCCTTCTGTGTAGCCTTCTGTGCACCAGGTTTACCGTAGCTTTTTGCTGGGGCCTTCTTCGTCTAATAAGTAAAACAATTATGTTTATTATATTTCATGTGATCAACGATATTACTAAATTACATGAGAAACAGGTAATCAAAGCTTTGTACAGAATCCAAGTATCATTATGTTGTAAAGAATATTGTAGAAAAAATGTACACATTTACTGTAACTATGCTTACAAAGGAATTCAGTAAATATATCTTTTTTAAGTTTAAGTTATGTCAACATGTGGTTCCATCATACAGAATTTTTTTTTAAATTTTGTTTTTCTATGTTTAAATATTATTGTTTACTTTGTTTGACAATAAAATTGTATTATGTATCTATATATGTTTTGAAAAAAATCCATTTTTTCCGTTTGAAAGTGTCTAAATATAACATAGCTGAATTAGTGTCTACAACTAGTAATACAAATATTAACATGCAATGTATCAGTAACTGTTGTGATAACAACACTAGTTTGGAGTTTTAACCCCAAGTTCTGTTCCACTGAACAAACAGATAGTTGTGAGCTGAAAAAACAACATTTTAGTGGAACAATGTTTCATTTCCTGTGACAGAACTTCAAAATTGCAACCTGAAATGTTTTTGGAACAGTGAACTAATATTTAATGGACATTGTTGAATCAAAGCACAGCGACATGCATACCACAGTGGTTTGATACCTGGTTTAGAGACGTTTGTTTATAATACAAATATTATTAGACCTCTAGTGTCAGAGCTGTACATATACTCGTAGATGTGCTCTCAAATGCTGAACATTTCCTGTGAAAAAAGTTATTAATGAATGAAATTAAATTCTTAAACTGATGTCTGAAAAATAAATATGAATGAACTAGATCTGTTTTTAAGATTTGTTAACCCCAAAAAATAAACAAACTGACAAACTAAATTAATTCATCATAAAGCTCTTTAAACAAGATTTTGTAAAAAAAAAAGTGATTAAGAAATGAAGATATTTATTTTATAACAATTGTGGAAAACAGATTCTTAAACACATATATAAAAAATAATAAGATTGAATATGAATGAAGTAGATCTGTTTTGAAGATCTGTTTTCATAAGAATAATAATCAATCTGGATTAATTTGTTATAAATCTCACAAAATGAGATTTTTGTCAAAAAAGGAACTAAAAAATAAAGATATCTATTTTACAACCATTGTGAAAAAAACTTATTCTAACTTATATTAGGCACTCTTGTTTGCCTGGATGGAGTTGTCCTACTGTGGAAGGAAACTAGAGGTCCTGTGGTAAAACCCACATGGTCTGGCAGGTGATTCCCTACTTTTACCTGTCTATTTGGGAAGTTTTACCACAGATGGTGACAGGGAAGTGTGTTACAACTGCACCAACCACCCTTCCAACTCCATACTGATGCCATGGTTACACCAATATATGTATATTACCACTTTGTATATAAAGGTATTTGGACCAAAAATCAAGTGATAACAGGCTTCTTCATGTAAGCTTATGAAATATAACCTGGTGATGTTGAATCAACATTGTGTTTTATAAATTAGTGATATGAAGAAAATTATTGTGTTAATATATCTGATCTGAAAGTCTGAAAAGGATATTTTGTCTCTGATTTTGTTTATTATAAAAATATTACACTGTACCAAAAAAAAATTTACTTAACGATATCATTAAACCTTTGAAGAGTTGAATAACAAATTAACAGCTTAAATACTTTGCACATTTTGTATTTTTCAGATTTGCATTAAGTTGAAAAATCCATATTCTTTAAAGCAGGTACATTGTACATGTGATAGAGCCAATGTTACAGCTGATAATCCCATTCGATGTGGACACCTAACATTCATTCTGCATTCACTTGTACTTATATAGACATACATACAACATTAAAACAATATTATCAACACTACAGACAGGTTCTGACAATCTTCATGAACATGCAGTTTTAATCTATCTTACATACTGTAGACTTTAAAGAATGCAATGAAATGCACAGATTATACCAATGGGACCAGATAGTAAAAAACCTCACTGCCCCCTGAAGTTAATTTGAACTATTGCATGATACCTTTAGAATAGACATCAATAATATTCTCAGAATGATGTATCGTTGATCTGATGGCTTCAGATTACATTTAAGAATTTATTTTTTGAATCTGATAAAATTAGCAATAGGTAGATAGAAATAAACACTATATAGCATTGACCATGCCACAAAATGCATTATTGTAGTGCATATCAATTTATCAAATAGCATTATGAACATGAACACTGAAGTTTAAGTGCTGTAGTGGGAATGATTTCTGATACAACAATAGATGAAAGGACTCTCTTGCATTTCAGTCAATACCGGTGTTAACAAGTGAAGACAACAGATCTACTCCATGTCTCAACATTTTTCTCACTTTTGCACTCTTTGACCCTTTGGATCCTTTCTTATCTTTTTTACCATCCTTCTTCCCATCTTTTTTACCATCCTTCTTACCATCCTTCTTCCCATCTTTTTTACCATCCTTCTTCCCATCTTTTTTACCTTTTTTCTTTTTGGAAGATTTCTATAAGAAATGTTTTGAAATTTATCAAAAAAAAAAAAAAAAAAAAAAATTATCAACCAGGTGTGCAAAATTAATTAGTGCTACCAAACCAACCAATTATGTGCTGCTATCAAATTGAAATTGTTTAAAGTGAAAAATCACATAAAATATAATAAATGATACAGAATATAAAATTACATATTAACGTATTATAATAGTATGTTGTACAATTGTATTTAGCAATGTGTAAAGAAAGTAATTTTAAAATGTTAACCTTCAATACCTAGAAGGTCTCATGATTTTTTAAAAAATGTTATTTCATAACAGATATTTTTTTAAATTTTCTATATAAAAAATTCATGTTGGCAACTCCAATTCAGACTTCAATAACACACTTCTTTACCTCACTCTTGGATATCATATACCAGCAGTGATTGAATTCTATGTGGCATTTCGTCTTTTCGTAATACAGAGTTATCTGCTCTTGTGGGCAGGTAGTGATTGTTACATCATTAAGTTGTGAGAGAAAATTATGTTGTTTCCACACAAAATTATGACAATAATCTCACGACATAACAATCACTGTCTGATTACAAGGGCAGATAACTCTGCACCACAAAAAGATAGAACTGATCTGTGTGTAGAGGAGTAGGAACTGGGTGTATTGATGTTGATTTTTATTTATTTATTTATTTATTCATTTGTTTGCAATTAGTAATGATAAAAAATAATAAAGAATAAACTTAATGATATTCATTAATAGCAGGGACAGAGATTAATATTTGGACTTCATTGCCATGATAATGTTTGTTTAAGACAGAAGTATTTTAGACAGACTTGTATGAAAAAGAATGTGTAAGGATTAATGAACTAAATAATATTTTTCCAACACCCTTAAATAATTAATGGAAATTAAAAAGATTTAACTAAATGTTAAAAGATATGGATGCCAAAATTCAACTGAAAGTATTGTTTATAAAACTGATCAAATAAGATGAATGCCACACCAGAATCTAAAGATATAAATCCAAAAAGTAAAAAGAAAATATTTCTAAAGAATCGAGAAGTAAATGAAATAGATATCTATGGGGTTCTCCTCACCTTGCGTCTGTGTCCCTATAATATGATACAGTAGAAGAATTTGGATGAAAACCAGTTCAGAACACAGTGGCATTGTCCAGATTGAAGTGATATTTTTCACTTTCAAATAATTTGGACTTAATATACTTTGGAAATTATTTGAAAAATTACTTCCAAAATATTAAAAACCAAATGAAAAAAAAAATTGCTTTAACCTCTGAAATGATATTACTCATATCTGCATGACAATGATTCCTTACCACATGACGATATACACACAAATATGTGTAGCTGTATAAGTTTTTACCCTGAAAGAGATTTGTGTTATATATTGCTGAAAAAGAAAATTGGCTCACATATATGTGAACCCTTGACAAAATTAATGATTACACTGAAACTAAAACATAAAACAGATTTGTAGTAGTCACATGTACAACAAGATTAATCATGACGATGATTGATGCTACAAGCTAATTCCTCTACCGTATTTATACAACAATAACCCCAGGACAGGAATACTGCTAGTCAGAAGAATTACTGTGCTACCAATGCAATCCAGTCTCTCATGTGAAGCCCATCGTGTAACTCTGAGGTCGAGGTAACTTGTTTCAGCCCTATAGGCTTATTAAGGAATAAATATGATAGAATCGTTTCTTCACATGAGTATATACTGTACATAGATAATATGATTTTAAACAGTACAGGTATATCGTAATAGAATTTTTTAAAGTTGACTTATGGTGGTGCTGCAGTGACACCCGTCACTGGACTAAGCTGGTTGTCAACCAAGCAGTCTGTATATTTACTGCAAGTCCTACACATAATATCTCTATCAATAAATAGACATGCAGGAGCTGAAATTGGTTCTTTAATACAAGAAAAAGATTCATATGGAACTTGTTTTAATTAATTCAAAATAATTCAGTAAATTCACAAATAAGAAAGAACTCATTCAAGGGAATCATCAACTTTTTTTTTGATGTTTCAAAATTCAAGAATCATATATTTTTGATGGCAAACACATCAATAAATATACAAATGTAATACAACAAAAGTGCCAAAAATTGAAAAAAAAATCTTTAGAAAGAGTTGTGGTATGTGATATTAAAAGAATAACGCTTTTGTGCTCAATTTTTAATAGCTGTAATGATGAGAAAACAAAATGAAAAAATATTGTTTTGATTTCCATGAAAAAAATGTCTATGAAAAACCTTGACCAGTTGTCCAAAGCATAATTATATTAATGACAAATTGACAAAAACAGTCCTTTTTCATATTATGAAATGGTAATACAAAAACTAAATTAAGACGGAAAATCAAAATAATCTTATCAGTTATTTTCTGGCAAAAAATGGATACAAAAAACATTATGAATAATAAAACAATAGTTATGCAATAATTTTGCTTTGAACAATTGGTATTAGGACTCAACTGGATCACAAACAATCAGGTTAATGATGCAGACAGTTTAAAAAGTTTCGAATTGAATTTCTTCTCTTATAATTCAGTTGTTAAACTATCAATGGTCTATCTTTAAGAACATTTTGAATAGACAAATAAATTCTTATGATATCTGACTGAAATGATTTTATTTGTTTCCTCTCCATACTTAAGATGCTTGTGGCACAGTATAATGAAAAAAAAAATAAAGTTTATGAAAATCCTTTTTTTTCAAAATAGATAACATTTTAATCAAAATATGACTTGTAATAAAAGAAACACACAAAGAAAAGATAACAACCCTTAGACCTACACAAAATAATTGTGTTTTGACATATTTTTCTACCGAGATGTTAAAGCTTGTGAACAGTACACTTGCATCATTAAGCTAACATATGTTTCACAATTGTGTCCTGAAATACAAAGTTGGTTGATTTCATTAACACTTAGAGAATAAATTCTTACATATAATTCAGAAATACACATTGAATTGTAAAACAACACTAAGAAACTGAGAGAGAGTTCAGATGACTTGTGAATCTGAGACATTGCACGTGAGACACTGTTTCATCCTCAATACTGTTAACTTATTTAGTGTCGGTCATTCATTAGAGATGTGGCCATGCAAGTAAGTGACATTCAGTTTAAAAGCAATCTATTACAGTAATCAATTACTGCGACATTCCGTTGCTAAGGTAATGCTGCTATATTCTGGTCAGAAAGTGTTGTTCTATGTAGTACTTTGAAGCATTATTCTTTATGGAATGATCTCATGCAACCTGATCTAAAAGCATTTGACATATTGGAGATATATCTGAGTTATTTTGGACCTAAAAATTAACTTTTATTTGAAGCAGGTTTACTGTTTAAACATTGGATGACTTTGTTTTTCAGGAACAAATGACTAACAGACTCCAATAGCTCCCAAATTTTTCATATATTTCTGTTACTGAATACTGAAACCCCATAGTATTTATCCTGGGTACAAGTAATACATATACATGCCTTCACTTGTCTTCTGTCCCAAAGAAGAAAGCTACCAAAAGGATTTTACCCAATAAAAATACTTTCCTGTTGACCTCTGTCAAAAAGTTCTTTAACTACATTTCCAAAACTTTTTTTTCAAATATTTACTCCACTTTCCTTTGTACAGTCTTTTATATACATCTTACTGTCTCTCTTCTCTACGTGACCTCACCACTCCCAAACTTCTCTCCCTAAAATGTTTTTTAGATCATTTGAAAAAAGGAAAATCAGAAAATATCTGTCGGACAAGAATCCCCACACTCCCATGCAAATAAGTAATGTTGTTTGATGAATTTGTCAAATCTGACCCCAACCTTTAAACCTTGACCTCCTCAATACAACAAATATGGAGTAAATATGAACCAAATCCTTTGATAGATTATCAAAATATGACACTGTTTCTGGACAGGACAGAGACTGGACATTGATGATACTGCAAATCACAATCCCCTACCCCCATCAAGTGGAAATGGCATCGTTACGTTATGCTAAACGTGCATATTAAACAAAGTACAGGACTAAATCTATACATGAATTTTTATAAAGATCTAAAAATTCAAAGACTGAGAGCAGCCATCTCTAACCATGCTAATAACCAATGTGTACAGATGTACATGTATATGAGCGAAAGTCTAAAATACATAACAGTATATTCGTGAAAAAGAAGCTTTGTTGATAGTTTAAACACAAAACAATATTTTGTGTTAACATATTACAAGATATACCTTATCAGTTTCATCTTCTGACGGTGGTTCTGGCTCAATTACAGGCTAAAAACGAATATAAATATTCTATAATTTGTTCCAGGACCTTTCTCTCAATATAACTAATTAATTGTTAATTCAAAGTGTATTAAAAGGATTTATGATCCAATTAATTTAGTACATTGCATCACCTCTCGAACAGGTTTCTGGTCAGCCTCAGGTCCAAACTTCATGAAATGAAAGTTTTATATACTCAGAAATAAAAACTCAAAAAAATATGAAAGCAACATGTATAACACAGGGAATGTATATTAAAAGAAACCACTCAAAACTCTAAATATCACCTTTGGTTTCACTACAACTTCATCAGCTTGTTTCTTAAATTTATAAAAGAAATGCTGTGTTATATTCAAGAAAAATAATTCCCAAACATATATTATAGAAACATCACCCTCATCACAATCTTTTACAATCAACTAACTCAAAGTCTGTTTTTATCATACCATATTTGCAGTATTAATAGAATTATAAAACCATACACTGCCATCAAATCAGAATATAATTTGGAAATAGATAATTCAAAGAAAAATTTACATTATAAAACTCAAAATTAAAACATAGATTTCAAAATTGATACATCATAATTTGCATTCTACGGGATGATTTTGTTGTGATTAAATTTGAATATAAAACATGTTATGAATTACCAGTGACAATTTAAGAGAAAAATTATGATATCAGTTTCTTCTCTAAGTTGTACAAACTTATGTAATCAAGTTCAATGTAATTTACTGGAGAATTTGTCTGATGATATAGTTACAATACTGATATGTAAAAACCAACAATATTAATCATAGTATATAACACAGTGTTAATGGTAAATTTCATCAAAGCAATCCAATTCTAACAAAAATAAAAACAATTACCACTTTCAGCCACTAAAAGAGAATTGCATAAAATTTAAATTACAGTTTGATAAACTTAAATTTTCTGTACTGCTGTAACATTAGTATTCTTTCTTAACAAATACAAAATATCAATTTGTATTTGTAACTAATTAAAGTAGCTGGGTATATTCATTTTACCAGTATGTCCTTGTAAAAGCCACAAGATTTATTTTTACTGTAAAATAGTATATCTATTAATCAACATCTTCATGTGCTCCTATAATCCTATAAAGTAGACTTTAATTAACAGTCAACAGGTCTTTGTATATTTTAAAATCTAGCAAAAGCCTCTCTGTTGCTATAAACAAGACCAAATTTCTATGAGATTTATTGATGCTTGAAATAAAATAATTAAAACTTTTCTTTTTTCTTTTTATCCAGTCATCACAATTTTCATTAAACATTTTTGCGCGGTTTCAGGAGGATAATATCTCCATGTGCACTGCTATATAATTCTTTATATATTTGAAGGTATAATTCATTTCTTGAGAGTCAAACACAATCAATGATAAGATGAAATGCTATGAAAGATTGATCTAAATGTCTTCAATAAAATTGATTTTGATGTTGAATATGGTGAAGTTTTCTGCTAATAAAGGATATATCACACTATATATGTAATACACTAAAATGTGCACTCTACTTTGTAATTATATAGTTTGTGTGCCAAAAAACACCAACAATATTTCTACGATAGCAGGAATCCATAACATTTTAAAATATCAGTTACATGTAAATTGAAAAATAATGTAAATCATATAATGAATATCAATAATGATATTTATTATGAATAGATAAGAGAAATGTATAAGCTTAGTTATCCAATAGTTGTCAAGATATACATTACTTACATTTTCTTGTTTTTCAAAGAAGGACAAGTCTCCTGTTGTGTCAAGTTTCACTGAAGAAGGACCTGTAAATAGAATGATAGGAATTTGTCAGAAATGAGAAACAGTCTCTAACTTTAAAAATCTGTATAGAAAATTATTCATTCTGATTTATAATTGACAAGATATGTTTCACTAACAGATAATACGTCTGTCTCGACGACCATATCAATATGGCCTACATCTACTTTTAATTATCAGTTCCTCTATACTGGTGTATTAGCTGTACCCTAATCAGCATTCAGCCACAATAGTTCAACTAAAGGGATTCCTTTTTGATATCAAACCAATTGCGAATAGTCAATGCTAGATGAGGCTCAAAAATTTTATGTTTCACTTTCACTTAAAATCAAAATTTCATCAATTTATGTAAAGAATTTAAATCAATAAATAAGTTGTTCAATTAAACAAAAGTATATGCTAGCTAACTCACTTCCTATGCTGTTGTTAATTGCTTCTTGTGCTTTCTGTATGCCAAGTCGAAACTCTCCAAGTTCCTGACGCAATTTGTGACCTCGATGAAAGAAGACCAATGCTGTCTCAAAGTGTCCTAACTGGTACAAGGCTTCGGCTTTCATCAGCAAACCCTAAATTGGACATGAAAAAAAATATGTACTGCACATCAAGTTCTTGAATACAGTGTAATTTGATTATCATGCTGACCATAACACTGGGGCTGTGATAGCTCAGCCAGTTCCAGTATTGGTCTATGTAACCTCAGGTGAATTAGATACAAAGGGCATAGTTCAACAAGCTGAGAAACAGACTGGTCAGTGCTGATGTGGTTGTGTTTATGGGCATGACACTTTACTTCAGATGCTCTGGACAATGATGGCATTAGACAGGGTTACTGTATGTTGCTCAATGAGGTTGCTACCAGCTACTACAAGTAGACTGTAGCTCAGAATGATCCAGGCAGTTCACAGGGAAATAAATCTCAACAAATGATGAATAGAGTCATGGGATTAACTTTTCATAAAATTTTGCTCTATTGATAAATGTCCTTGCTCGCACACACCAATGCCTAATGGCATGATATTACATGTACACAAAAACTCATTTTCCAATAAATATCACACATTGCTAATACAAATTGTAAAAGATGTTTTTTTATTGTTTTCCCTTCAAAACAAAACTGATGGTATTTCACAGTCCTATTTCAGTTTGATCTGACTCACCCTGATGTAGTCCTTGTCATGACTTAGTGCCTGTTCTGCATCAGCCAGGGCATTTTCTGCCATGCCTAGCTGTAGGTAACATTTAGCACGAGTGACCAGCACCACATTATCTTCAGGATTCATCTCTGATGCCTATATAACAGATACAACGCATGAAATTATATTGACATATACATACAAAGATGTACTTAAAACACACTTGAAAGTAAGTGATTAAGATACTACATTTACAGAATTTTTTACTGTTTATTTGATAATTTGGGAATTTTAGATGCCTTCGTCTGTCCTTCCTTGTATTTGGAAATGAGAATTGTTTGAATCTCTCTCTCTCTCTCTCTGTCTGTCAGAAAAGGCATTTTCATCGGTGAATCCAGGATAGCCTGTCTCCTAACTCACAAAATGTCTAATGTCAGGTTTAGTAGCCAGAGTAAAATTGGGATTTCATAAGTTGCAGGCATGTACATAATTTTAAAAACGTTATTGACATTTGTAAGAAATAATCTCATTACATTATATAAATTAGAAACAACATCACACATCACTAGTATTTATACCTCAAATAATATCTGGCCAAGGCTTTAAAAATCAAGGGTTACAGGAACTTTTGAAAGGTCATCAGGTAATAAGATCTTAGAATCAATTTTAACGTATAGTTATCATATCTGCATGTATGTTTATTCAAATGATGTAAACATTGTAAGTTATGTTTGAATGTTATTTTGACTTTATTTGTATTAGAAATAGAATTTGAATCTTTTGAATACTGGCCACAAGTAAAGAAATATCACCTAGACATTCAAGCATTTTGCATGATTTGAGCAGGTCATGATAATTGGCCACCATCAGGTTGACCATACAAATTCAGATGAGTTTGCGACACTGAAGACAATTGTTATTGAAATATATATGACATCAAATAAAATGGAAATCTAGTGTAAGAAAAATCTACATTTACATTCAATGTGATAAACTAATCATTAATGACCTATCTATTGAAATTAATAACATGACAAATGTACCAAATAGGTGTCTACCATTATGTACAAATGTACATATCTTAGAAAAAATATAAACATACATCACGTAAGAATATAAACACTAGGTCTAAAAAAGTATGTTTTTACATATATATTTATATCATTATGAATGTATATTTGCAACTCAAAAGATAATCCAGATTGATAATCCAGATTTGGTTTAAAGCTAAATCCCTAAATCTAATTATGTTATTAGCCCATTGCTTTATACTACAGTACAAAATGGCTGTTCTTTGTTGAGCCGATCAATTCGTTAATCTTTCAATCCTTAATTATACCTTTGAAATTATGACCATAAAGATAAAAAATACATCAGTACCCGTGTAAAACTCTCAACTGCCTTCTGGTACAGCTGAACGTGCACGAAATACATTGCTTCATCTCGTAAGGTCTCAAAAGACCCTGTCTCGTCTTTTTCCGAACCCATGTCGCTGTCGTCTCGGCCTTTCCTACGACCTGGCATTGTTGTTAGGTCTTTTGTTCTCTGTTAATTGGATATAGGACAATAGATCTAATCTAATTATCAAATTTTACCTAGCCGTAATATTATGATTGCCTGTAACTAAGCTAAACTACCACCAGAGGGCGCTGTACGGGCACCTGCAAATTAGCCTCTGACTTTATCCACTCAACTGTACAAGAGATAGAAAAGCTCCGAATATTTGTTGTTATTGGTAACCGACCAAAATAAAGATGATAAAAAGGCTTTTTTTTATTATTCACAAACAAACGTTCATAATTAAACCAAAGTATCACTGATACAAATATCCATATTTTCTGAAATATTAAAGAAAACCAAATAATGTAGCTAAACGACACATTCTAAAGTACGAAACTATTTTCTACAACTCTGCATGTTATACAAAATTGTTTGAAAATGGCGGACAACGACGAAAAGCAGACGCCGAAAGATGACTCAAATGAAAAAAGTCTAGAAGACTTTATAACTCATCATTACCAACAACAAAAAGTGGGTTAATGACTCTGTTTATCATATATACATGTATATTATTGTAGATCAATCGACTAATTCACCTTGGATATTAATACTCAGCTCTACCAACTGAGCCAGTGACAGATCAGAGACTGTTTAACACTAACGTACAATACATGTACATGTATACGTATGTAAAGAGTGGGTCGGAGTGGCTTGAACATAGTGTTAAGTACGGCCTCTTTCATTCAGCTGAGTGAAGGTGCATCCTTGGCACAGTTGGTGGAGTGGATTATCACGCTGGATACACTGGCTCGATAATCCCTTCTGCCTGGGCTTCCTCCCTTGGCCTTGGACACATTTATATCGGGCGCCTTACAATGTCTTTTGGAAGATAAATATATAAATAACAAGTCCTGAAGTTCACAGAAAGGATTATTGGGTTCGATTTCTCAGACCTATTTGAGCACTAAGCAGGATTGTGTATTCTCCCTGCTCTTTCACATTGCAAGGGTTGTTGTATCTAGTGTCGGGTTGAGATTTAGGAAATCTGAAGAAAAACTGATGGAGTAGTGTTTATAAGTAGCAGGTCCATCTGGCATTTGCATAGTTTTAAGTATTCCCATGGTGCTCAACAGGAATGTGTGTTTTCCCAGTTCTGTTAAACATATATGTACTTGTACAAGCCAAAACAATTTGTCCCTTTTGCAATTTAAAGAACATAAATGAGTTCTAGAAAACGAGAGAGTACAAAGTGTGAATTTCACCAATTTGGGGGATTTTTTACCCTCATTGGAGTGTAATAAAAAAAGTCTGCTTGGCAACATCATGGGTAAATTTGGAAAGTTATTGAATGAGTAAACTATTCTAGCTTGAATTATTAACTCTTCTTGGCCTGGATGGAAACACAAATGGGGTCTTACTATGGGATGAAACCCGAGTACCATGGAAAAAACCACATGGTCGGGCAAGTGACCCCATACCTTTACACGTCTGTTCCAAAAATGAAACCCTGACGTCCAGATGAATGCGGAAGATAAGTGTGTGTTAACACTGCGCCAACTGACCACCCAAAAGCTTTGAAAAGCTTTGTCTCGCAGTATTACCAGTTTTCTGTTGATGTCTTTGGTGTTACCACTTAATAATTACTTACTGAATAACTTACAATCCAGTCATATGGAAATGTAATCATTTGGACAGTAAATTTTCTCCTCCTTATGCATGTGAAATGTATGTTATTCCCAATATTTTTGTCCACAGTGTTCCTGTTGGAAAACATTAACACCACAGAATTATTCCATATATTCATACTACAGCCATATGTCATAATACAAATCATGTATTTAATCTTCAGTAGCACATGACTGACCACCCACAAAATACACATTGAAAGTTTTGGTAACACCATCAACAATTTATTGAAAAAGGTCCTGTCTGAACTTTTAAATATGTTGTGGATAATAACAGATATGAGGAAGTTGATTTGTAACAAATGCATAGAGATTGTACTTATCTCTGACTAATTCCTCAACTGAACCAAAACTTTTGGTAACATGTTTCAGGTACAAACAAAATTTTAAGACGGGAACGATAAATGTGAAGCTATATGGAATTTTTTTGATGTTGAGATCCCAGAACTCTGAACTTTGTCACTGACTGAATACATGACATGCAAGTTACAGCACACTTCTGACAATTTTGATGATGACATGCAAGTAAAATATGGAAACATATAAAGTTATGTGTAATGTTATGTATGTATTATGCAACAAACATGTCATTTCAACTGTTCCATAATACCAAACTAAAGTAGGGTTCTTGAAAGAGTAAACATTCTAGCCCCGTGATATAACATCACAGAAAACAACAGGGTTTTCCATAATTTTGTTAGTAGTAGGCTGTGTAGTGAAAGTAGGAGGCTGGCCTGCCATGTATGTGTAGTCGTGTACGAAACATTATTACGGAACTGGATTGGTGTAGGCGGCCAAATGATCAAAGTAGCCGGTCACATTGGCCGGCGACCGGCTCTTATGGAAAACCCTGAAACAACATCAATATTATTTTAATTGCGAGTTATGTTATTGCACAAGAGGTCCATAGAGCCTGTATTGCTCACCCAATTTGGTTTGATCATAATTTGCTTATCAAAGAGAAGAATTTGAAAGCCCAGGCCAAAGTTTACTGTCACATTCTTTACCTGATTTGGCCCCACCCCTTTGGGGTCAGACCCATTAATAAAGATTAAAAATTGAATCCTGTCAAACCATGGATACTTCCATTTCAAAGTGATCAAAATCCCATCATCCCTACACAAGACTTTAGATGTCAAAATCTATTTCACCTATAAGGCCTCGGACCCTTCTACCCCCAGGAGGGTGACCAAATCAGACACTTATTTTATACTAATTCTAATCCTCTGCCTGTTGATACTTTAATCAAACCAAATTTGGTAGCAATCCTTTCATCCCTAAAGGGAAGGAGTTTAAAGCTCCTTGGGGCAAAAAACCCATAATTTATATAACTAGGTGAGCTTCCTCTAAGGATGCTTCTGATATCTAGATTTGTATAACAGCTGCAGTTATGTAAGACAATGTCAGAAATGCTTCATCTTAATTTTCAGTTTTCTTTTACAGGAAGATGGAAAGATGGACGCAACAGATGATATTGATGATGAACGTACTTCAAATTTTTTTGACAGAGCCATATCAGAGAGCAGAAGGTAAACACATTAATATTTTTCCTGTATTTTTATATATATATATATATGTTGCTACTACTTCATTGATCATATATCTATCCCAGTAGTACATATCCAATGAACATTTGTTAGACTACACTGTTGATATTACTTACTTGATTCTATATATATATTCCTATATAGAAAAAACTTGATTTGACGAGATGCGAGTAAATTATAAATAAAAATGATTTTTGACAAAAGAAGAAAGACGTTACATTTTGCACTAGTGCTTTCACTTTATTAGATCTTCAGGTGCATAGTAACTGTACATAATGGTGTGGCGTCAGAACATGTTATCTGTTGATGACGTCATAATATAAAAGGGGCATAATTATATTTTGCAAACTTTACAATGTGGTTATATTTTGCAAACTTTACAATTCCTATATATATATAAAATATATATAATTTATGATAATTCTTGCATGATGCAGGTACTTTAATATTTCTGTGAAAGAAATCAATCACAACAAAATTGAAAACATCAACTTTAATACTTTCAAGGATGTGATGTCTCTTCTAGAGTTAATCCTCTTTTATAATTGGAAAATGTGGTAGAAAACCTTGCAATAACATTTCCTTATCCTTGCCTTTTTTAAACTATGAAATTTAAATCCTCAGAATTTTGAGTTCATATTTAAACTTTCTGAATATGAAATCATTAGTTAATATTTCTGTGACTAAAATCATTTTTTAAGAATGATTTTTGCTGTTTTTGTTTTATCATACTGATTTACCGGGTAGTTAATGCTATTATTACAGGATGAACAAAGAAGTGGACAAATCACAGGCAAAGCTTGACAAGCTTGCAGCAGAGTTCGGGATAGAAAGACTTTCTGCCTGGCAGGCTGAACATGCTGCAGAGGTTCTGACCCCCGCACAGATGGCCTCTATTGGCCTTCAACAAACAGACTCTTCCTGACACAGAAAATGGAACAAAGAGCAAATAGACTGACACTAAATTAAGTTATAATGTTATCAATTGGTTATGCAGTAGTAGAACTCTAAATCAAATTATATTTCAATCTGGTCCTCTCAACATGTATAGTTTATATTCTTTATCAAAATTCATAATTTTTCATTAAATACCATTTATTATTGTGTTTATTGCACAAAGAATATTGTTGGTGTTTATAGCAAGTTGGCAAGTTATTTCAATGAAAAGAGTAACCTTAGTTAATACTAGCTGCAGCATACCACTTGACTAGAGAGAATTTCTCTTTACAATGATATATAGCTCCCATCACTTGAGCATCAGACTAGTAAGTCCGAGTTCCCAGATTCAATTACTCACCACAATATAGTACCACTCGACAACAAGACACTTAGCTCTAGATTTTTGATTGGTTTTATAGTCACAAAATAGTACTACTTGACAACAGAATACTTCTCTTTAGATGTTTGGATAAGTGTCAGTCTAGTAATTGTAATCCAGAAGTTGTAGGTTTGTATTATAGTGGAGGCAATGAAATAGTTAATGACCTCGAAGCTTTGTTACAAAACGATAGATTTGCAAAGTCACCATAATTACTATACAAGCAGCGTATAGAAACTGCAATTAGCCTGTAATTCTGAAACTGAGATACAAAATAATTGTACTGTATCAAGTGTAATTTGATTACATTCAGGTACTTATGTCTTAATTTTTAAGTACAACTCTAAACCATTGGTTTGGTCATTTTCATTAGGTTAAGATGTAACACTGGTAAATACTAGCTCCACAATTGTTTGAATCATAGGTCCTGATTTTGAATCGCTGCATGGCACTGCATTAAGTAATTACCTTGTATACAAAGAGATCTGTATCTTTCATGTATGCACACAAACAATTTACATACTTTTATGTAATTAAAGAACTAAATGGGAAAGTAGCCCAGAGTATCATTTAGGTATATGTATCAACACTTCAGCGAGGTTGATGGTAACCATAGATCTTTGACATGTAGCCTATCAAAATGAGTGATTTAAAGTCATACATGTATATGTGCAGTAATCTTAAATCCATTTTATCTAATACATGTGTTACTGACAGTACATTGTACATAATAAACTCCCATGTACATGTATGGAACATAACTCCATATACTGTATAGCTAGGAACCAATATCATTTAAAGAAAAAACAAAGTCATTTTCATTTTCATTTTTTTTTTTATTTTCTTTTCTTTAAGTAAAGGGTTGTTTATACACAGAATAAAATGTTGTATTGCTTTATTTATTCCAAAATTTTGTAAGACAGTCATAGGCAATGTTAATTCTTGGATTACTTCCCTTCAATCAGACATGCCTTTAATCAGACATGTCACTTTCACATCAAAATAATGCAAGGGCCATTTTCTTGATGTTATGAATAATGCAACATACGTACAATGTACCAGTGACAACAGGAAAGTGTTCATTAACATCACTGACTGATTGAGAATTTATCTTGTGTAAATGAATTATTTTAATTCATTACATGAATTTATTACATAAATTAAACTCTTTGAACAATTCTCTTGTTTATTTTCATTTTTACCACAAATTCCATCAAGAAACGAACTAGGGAATGATAGCTCAGCAAATTAATTATTAAATTTAGTGTAAACAGCATCATTAACACTTAATGAAGAGAAATTCTCTTATAATTCAAACTGTAGTTATGACTGTAGGTATGTGTATTTGAATTGTATGTACGTCTGTAAATCAAAGATTTTCACAGCCCAGAGGCATGAAAGTAAAACTTGGTATTTCAACTACATCACTTTACTATAAATGTCCTTACTTAGAATGGATCTTTTTTATGTCTCAGCAGACTGTCAGATCTTCTAAATGTTTGTAAACAAACTGTACACTTGTATGGTTTTACTCCATTGTGTATCATTTCATGTTTTTCAGACTACCGCGGTATATTTGTGTTTAAACCTTGCCCGATGAGACTTCACAGTAGTAAAGTCGATGTTCTGTATGTGTGAGATGATGATTGGCAAGATCAGTGGCATGTCTGAATAATTTTCCACACACTTCACAAGTAAATGTTTCTCCATTAGTGTCATGTAACTTCATATGATAGGCAAGACCACTTGCATAAGTGTATGTCTTTTGGCAAATTTTACACACAGATTTTTTCTGTCCTGTGTGTTTACCAAAATGCATTTCAGACTACCTAGCTCTGTAAATCTTTGACCACAAATTTCACACTGAGAGTATGAACATGTACTATTCTTGTGAGTTTTGGTATGCTGAGTAAGGCCGGTTAAACAAGTGAATGATTTCTGACTTATTTTACACTGAAACAATTTTTCTCCTCTATCTCCTGAGGTGGTCCCTTAAGTGACCTGAATGGAAAAGTCCTCTCTCGCAATATTCACACTTCAGATTTTCTCCAGTATGTTTTCTAAAATGAAGCTTGAGATCTGATGCCAGCTTGAAGACCTTACCACAGTGATCACATCTGAGGGAATTGACTGGCTTTGAAAAGTCTACACTCAACTTTACATCAGACAATAGTAAACCATCATATTCTTCATCATCACAGTTGCAGTGATTGACCAAGATTGACCAACATGATTTGTTTGTGTAAGACTTAGTATGATCCATTAGGTTGGTAACTTGATGAAATTTTAGCCCACAAAACTTGCAAACTGGCACACTTCTTTTCTTACAAATTACCATCCCATGTTGTCCCAGAATATATGATTACGCGTAAAAAAATTTTTGAACAAATTTTAAATTTCAATGATTTCTCACCAGCTTGCTGTAACATATGTTCTTTACAATAACTGGAATGGATAAACGTATGACCACACTGGTCACCTTTGGATACATTTATTCTAGTGTAGAGGTGTTTATGGTGCCTGAGACTGGATGCAAGTTTAGACACTTTTTGGACAGATTTCGTAATCATGTATAATGTTGATTGATCATACATAAGATTTCAATCCAACAGTGTCAGGAAATGTTTCTGCACATAGAGTTAGCTTGAATTCTTTTTGATTCTTATCCATGTCATTGGTAATTTGTTCAAGATGCTGGTTAGACCTCCTGTTAGGAAAATTGTTTTATTTGTACTTTTATGTTAGTGCTAAATTTTTTTATTCAGTTGCACCTTCTGTTATTGAAGAGTTATTCTGATTCTTAATAGATTCATGGATACCTCGGCTTTGCTCTCGCCAAATTCTTTGCTTTGATAAGTTTTATGTTGAAACAGTAACAGGTTTATTTTCCTGAAGTAAAAGCCATTGTCCTCTTCTGATGAACTCTGATGGAGGGTTGACATGTTGTGGGCACCATAACAACATCTAAATGTGGAGCTATTTCTTGACTTTGCTAGATCACTTAAGTTGAAGGTTTACTAGCTGAATGTTGCAGTCAGCATAATCATTATAATATTGCAAAGGTCTTTAATTCATTTTTTTTTTTCAGTTTCATTAAATTCTGAATTAAACATGGAGGCGTTTTTCATGGCAAATCATAAAACTATTATTTTCTCCATTGATTTTTTATTTTCACATTATTTAATTTTGTTGATTCATTAAATCGTTAATGACAAAGAGAAAAAAAATAGAATCCCTCGAAAAGAACAGCTTTTACTGGTTTACCAGCAAGATCATTACAATTACAGGAGTAAATTTCTGCCAAAATGAATTGATCAAGGATAGAAAAAGAATAAAATATTTTTACTCATTACGTTTGATAGTTAGGAACCATCAAATTACTGGGGGTGTAATATTATTATAATGTGCTAAGCGACACTTGATTGTCAATGATGTAAACGTCTCAATAAAGCAGTCTAGTTAACATGAGCATATGGTGCCACGTTGTTGTTACAGGGGGTTGTTCTCTAAAGAAGTCTTGTATTACTGGTATCAAACAGGTTTTTAGTCAAATCATAAGCTTACTACTGCTGCAAGTGAACCACTGGGACTCGACAATTTTTAATCGATACATCGTAAATGAATATGGATCAGCCCTTTTGTGTTATTTTCACATTTCGGATAAGATTACATCATAGATGGTACATTTTATTTTTGCTGAATGATATAACAATATACAATGTACATGCAGCACTTTCACCAGTTTATATTTAATAATCAAATGTTACATTCAAATCTCAATATGCTTAATAACCTTCTGAAGTGACCAGAATATGTCCCAATTCACCTAGACTATATGAGCTTGTTAAAACAAGGTCTTTACGCTTATTCCAATAACGTGGAGATAAGTTAAATATATGATCTACGTCTCAATTTATACATTTTTCCACTGTACCGCTTTCCTCTTATTACTATTTAAGTCCGGTAACTTTACAAACGGGCATTTCGATTATGTGATATATATGTTGGGCGCAACCCTGCATATGGCTTGTCCTGCATTTGAGGGATAATTACTGCTTTGAGTAATCAGTTAGTTACTCAAATGCAGCTTCATTTTGCAATAAACACTTAAAGTTCTTTTTTAAAAATACAACAAAACAGGCATATTTTTAATGACCTGCTTGCTTATGCCAGGGACGTATAAAACAGACGTCCCTGCCTATGCAACATTGAACTTTTCGGGACCGAGGTGTCTCTAATTCATATACAAAATATATGTGACAATTGTCACTACTGGTATTAAGGTCTATTAGATATGCAAATTTTAATCACAATTTATGTACAAGTTGTTATATATCTTACTACACTAACCCCTCTGATGTACGTACATGCACTTTAAGAGATATATATCTGTACAGTACACATTACAACACCAAAACACGGGACAACGCGTGCTTGAACTAAATGATGTATGTTTCGAAGATGTGTTTTTCGCCACAATCGACGTCACCGATACATAATTAAAATACTTATTTATTCATGTGGAAGCAGTGAATCACAAGAACTGCGAATGTCACCAAACGCAGTAACCAACAACCTCCGGAAACAGACATATGTATATAACATACAGTCGCGTTGGCTGGTATGACATCTCCGGACAACGTATACTTTACAGTGTGCCATAATGAAGAAAACATTGCATAACTCCATAAAATCGAGGCAAGCTGGTTTATTATCATGACACACTGTGAAACAAGTGCGTCTATCGTCGCCAGAACACTTACGTTCGTCGTTGAAAAGATACCCACACGGGGTGGTCTCGTGCACGGAGACGGACAACCTGTCAATCAATTTGTCCTTTTCCCGCCTAACCATCTGCGGATACGCCGAGTTACGCATTCGCGGATTTCTCGCTCCAGAGGAACGTTTGTTTAAACGTTGAATTATATAGCGGCATTTCAGAAAATATTAATTCATCGTTTTGTTGATAAAAATTTTAAAATGTATGCATCTGATCAGCAAATTTAACATTTCTTCTTTACGAATATATAATTTTAAATATTTTAGGTGAAAATTAGTTGTGTCATTTTTTAATTGAAACTCACACATAAATCGCCTTCATAGTCTTGCCATTTTCTTTTAACAAGACAATTATTTTGACAACCTCAATGTGAAATAATAACAATATTATGTATACGTCGTGTCACTTTTTAGGCGAAAATTGCACATAATTTCAGTTCACAGTCCTAACGCTGTACAGGTAAACACGGCATCAATGTACGTGTATCGATGAGACATTAAGACGAACTAGTGTTTATACACAGTAAATAATCATATTGTTTTCTTATCAAAGTGCATTGATATCTCTGAAATAAAGGATTTCATATGTAATTAACGAAATGAATATTAAAATAGAGACGACATTTCCACATAGCGACAAAACTTTAACTAAAACATAGCTCTCGTTATGTAAATATCAACAATCACTGGGTTTATTTTGCATGCCTCATTTTTTATGTTTCATTTTGTGTGTGTGTGTTTTTTTTTTTTTTTTTTTCGTTTGTTTTGATTTTATTTTTTTTTTTTTGTTTAGTTATGTTTCGGTTGTTTTTGTTTTTCATTTATTTATCAATAGTCTTCAGGTACCTTTCTCTCTACATTATAATGATTTATGAAGTATGTTAAGGTGTAGTGCGAAACCATCAAACATAGTAATTTTATTTATTTATATATGTTTTAGTGCTGAATGAAGTCAAACTTAATTATTCAGTATTATTCATCAAATAAAATCTATATATTTAGTTAAATATCTCAATCATGTGAGGATACGTTGTGAGAAACACAGGTAAATCTCAGGTAATAATCCTAGTAAGAAGAGTTTATAGGAGACTGTCTATGATTGCTTTGCCATTGTTTCTTAAAACAACGCCATGCTGTTGTGAATAAAATGTTGTCACTCGGAGAATGTGTACAGTTTACCATTGGTGTGAATACATACTGACCGATTCACTTACAGAAATAAAACCATACTGACGAACCACGAAACCATTATTGAAGAAGTGTACAATGTATATACTTTGTTGACATTGATACTTACATGTACAATCCATTTTAACGAAAAGTCATGATTATAACTGAGGCATTCATTTGTTATTTAGTTTATCTGGGTTCAGAATGCTTTAAGATGTTTTCGGGAAT